GAGCGGATTTTGAACCACAACAGAGTCATACGTGCCTGCTGTCACAGGAAACCACTCTCTCCTTGCATTAGGGCAGGTGTTCCTCCCTGTTCTTGAGATAAAACCAAAACAAGACAACTAGATAACTCATTATATATGCATTTTTATACACAAGAAGTATCATATTAGTAATCACTTTTGGCCAGTTTAGATGTGGCGCTTTGATGGTGTGATACTTCAGTTCTTCGTTTAAATGCTTCACCATAAAACTTATGTGTTTCGAATGAACTATCAAAAAGCTTAGATCAAGAAACAAATCATACTTAGGCACCTTGAAGACTAGATTACAATGTCTTATTTTCAATCAAAACCTCATTTCTGCAACCTTGTATTAGTGTGCGGGTTCTGAGGGGATCATTTTCTGTTGTATAATCTGACACCAGTTGTAGACAACGTTACATGAAAATGAACATCATTTGCAAACGACTGAATCTTCTGCAGGAGAAAGCGGGATATCTGTAACTATTCTTTTTCATGTCACGAATTTGATAATCATTAACAGTAACCACCTAAGGGTGCTGTTATTAAATGTGCTCCTGCACATCTACAGCAGCGTTCCTCCACTCCCTCCACACCTCCAAACCTTCTAGGTTTCCCTATTGCAGCCATTTAAAAGAAGATTTAATTTTATTTTTTTATTATTTTCTTTCTTAATTCTTATCACCCACTTCTCTGATGTGTTTCTATGTCCCCCAGCTGCTAACTTGTCCACAGAGCAAACGATATTACACAGTATTATAGCATATATTACATAGAAAATGCCACTGTACAACAGACACTTTTCTGTTAATCCTTCCTCATCATTCTCCACGAGACTAGGAGGCTTTTGCCGTGCTGACAGCAGTTCTACTGTCTTTAATTTTTTATGCTTGCTTCATACCTTCCAGTCTCGTAGTATCACTTATCTGCAGTGTCTGTAAGTTGTCCAAATTCCACGCGATAATGATACAGCAATATTCTCAGTGCCAGAGAAAAAGTCGGAAGAGCATTTTCAAGAATAAGTGATTCTCCAAAAGGATAAAAAAAAATAGCATCCTTTCTAACTGGGTACTGCATGCCTAATGCTGTGCATCAATTTGCATAATTTTACAAGCTTTTTTTATTCACAATAACCCATCAGAGCCAGGACAACTGCAGAAAATCAAGTAGAGCATGATAAGGACTGCAACTCATCAAAATACACACAGCTTTCATCAGCTGCAAGCACTGGTGGCAGTGGAATTGCTAATGCAAACTGTGAAGAGAGGAGGGAGCAAGTAGAAAGATTGCGAACGTCGAATCATAACTGCTTAGAGTGTGAAATTAAGCTGGATTTGTAGGTTGAATCTTTAATTCTAGCAGATGAAGAAAATATTACATGGGCTACAGAAGTGGACAGAAGACCTCCGAGGCATTTCCCTAGTGCCTTTCAGTATAGGTTTGATAGTCACAGGAACAAAGACAGCAGCTTGCCAGACAGTGGTGGCTAAGTTCTCCAAGTAACTCTTTAATTACTATAGCGGAAAGAGGGAGATGAGCTCTTCATTGCTCACACACGTGAATAGACAGCTTGTGTTTGCACACTTGAAGCAGATTCTGGAGCTATGTCTTTCTGGATCTCCTTGGGACTTTTTGCAAACAGCAACTCAATTCATCTAAGGCTGTATGATATTAAACCGTTTCCTTTGTTTTAATTTTATCACTATGCCAATAAGAAAAGCAGGCTACCAATCTTTTTTTTTTTTTTTTGGACATATGCTTAAGAAAAGTTCTATAAACTCATCTATGTGCTCTAATTACAGTTCAGTTTTATATTATCATAAGGAACAGCTGAGACTTGCCTGCTGTGACATGGCAGGCACGTATGACCTTATCTGACCCAACCATATTGCAGCAGCTCCTCAAGAAGGGACAAAAAAAAAAAAAAAAAAAAAAAAAAAAAAGTATGCAGGCAAACTTAATTAATTTTATTTATTTGTTTTTCAGGTTAAGCCTAGACATAGCAATATTGCCCATCCCACCCTCTCCCTACTTGCTCTAATTTACACTGAGCACAAGCTTGTTATTCTTAATTAGTTGGTTTGGTTTGGTAAGGCTAAGAAGTAGTGCACTGGTATTATTTATAGGAATAAAGTTACTGAAAATTATACATCAGTGAAAGGCTTCAGAACAAGGCAAGATAGGGATCGCACAAGCTGAGGCAAAGAGAGTAGATGACCTCAAACCTACTGATGCAATCATGGTAACATTAATTGTTCAGAGAGCTGAATCATAAAGTGAAAAAAATGTCTTACCTTTGAAAAGCCTTATCGATTACAGAATAGTGAACATCGTCTTGGATTTTGACAAACTCAAGTCACCATTAGAAAGAAAAGTAGTCCTTGTAAGTCGCCTGACAAATCCTGCTGTTTGGAATCAGCCGATCCTCTTAATGCACCAAAGAAATTCCTATTAGCATCCTTTACATATGAATAAGTATAAATTATTGAAGATAACTGAAGAAATAAAAAATGGTTTGGTTGAAAGAATGTAAGCTTCTAACTGAAACCAACCATGTAAGTTTACAAGGAGAGAAAAAAAATAATTCTCTAAGCATTCAAACTGAGCGGATTGTATTAGTTTCTCATAAGTTATCGAATAAAGAGGGAGATGTAGAATCTTTAATAAAATGAATACATTTTTCCTGAATACATTTGAGGCTTAAATTGCAATTTTTGGCCATATTAAACTATTGTAGGAAATGCAATAATAGTTTTGACTGGATACAGGTGTGGGGTTTTTTTTAGTACATACTAGAGCTGAAAGGGACCAAATGTTGCACTTCAGTTATAACAAACTTTTAATGGTACAATTTTTTAGCATGATGCTGGCACCATATCAAAGGCCTACTTTTGAAAAATGTAACTCACCCAAGCATGCTTGAAAGTATTCAATTCTCTCCCTGCTTCGAAACAAATTACTTGAACTAATAAATCTTAAAAATGGGCAAGAAAAACAAAACAAAACAAAACAAAAACCTACACCAAGAAGGTAATTACTTTTCTAAATAGTATTTTCTCTATAGTTTCTTTCTTCAGCCCAATGTTGATTACAGCTATAGAAGTGATGGTTCCTAATTTTACTTAATTACAAAGGGTTTGTAACTACACTAGTTCATATTCACATTTAGCAAGAACCTCGCTTTCCAACAAACACTTCACCAACCCTCTATCCTCCTCACCCAGATGAATTCCTCCTCTCCCTTTGGCTTTGGCACAAACTGCTTTCAGCCATCATTTCCATTTACTGCTAACCTCCCCCTGTCTTTTCTCATTTAAGCAAGGTACTCCGATTTTGCAATAGTCACATGAAGACCTCCACAACTTGGAAATATTACACACTTTACTGGTAACATCTGATATTAATATTCATTGTCCCTACAACATCTAGGTGTACGCCACAAATTGGTCAGAAACATGTCTGGATTTGCAGGGAATGAATGAGTGGAAAAGAGCCATCTATTTATTTAAAGAGCTGCTAGAAGGACAGCACGAGCAGCATACCTATTACGGCGCTAGCTCCTACCACAAGACAAAGGATAAGTGGTTTCACGGTACACTCAAACTGCAGCTTCTTTGTCAACTGACACAAGTTGTATAAAGCAGAAGCAAGTTACCTCACAAACTATTTATGCAAGTTTATTATTGCAGGAGTGACAGGGCTGGCCATACTGTCACAGTTCCATAGCTCTGCTCCGAAACTGATTGTAAGCTCCCTCAAAAAAGCAGAAGAAATTATTTTCTCATTGCTTTAGTGAGTAAATTCCAATAGAACACTCCTTTTGTTGGAAAATAAGGAGGTCTCAGGTAGGCCATGAGGTGATAGTGCAGAACACAACTCTGCCTTTTAGGGCAGCAAAGCCCCGTGGGTTCATTTTCCTCATGCAGGCATCTCAGCCGCCCTGAACCAGGCACAAGAAACACGCTTAAGCTCTGCCTGCGGTCCCAGAATTCCAGCATGGGCACTCCCACACCATTTCGCTTTTCCACTGTTGCTGCAGGGGCATGTTTTTAGCTGTGGCATGACAGCCCCTTTGCTTGTACAATGGGGGAAATTTGTCATGGGTGGAGGACAAAGCAGCGCTTGCAGGACTGTGGGGGCACCATGGGTGGGCAGGAGGACATGAGCACTGCTGCCCCATGTTTCTGTGGTGACGGAGGCTGCAGCCATGCTTAGAGGAGCATCCACAAAGACCAAGGCTCTCCTCAGCAAATGATTGCTGTGTGGTGCTTGTGCTCCAAAACCTGCCATCGTGGCTTGCCTAAGCGATCAAATTCCCATAGCAGCTACAGGGAAATGGGGCTCCCCATCCCTTGCACAGCTTTCATGCCGACAGGCTGGCTACCAGAAAGGGTTGTTAGGCATTGGAACAGGCTGCCCAGGGAAGTGGTGGAGTCACCATCCCTGGAAGTCTTTAAAAGATGTTTAGATGTAGAGCTTAGGGATATGGTTTAGTGGGGACTGGTTAGCGTTAGGTTAGAGGTTGGACTCAATGATCTTGAGGTCTCTTCCAACTTAGAAATTCTGTGAAATTCTGTAACCCTGCCTAAAGGGGACCAAGAGGGGCGGGCAGCAAGATGGAAGCCAGCCCGGCCTCGCCTCGCCTCAGCGCCAGAGCCACTTCCCGCCCTCGGTCCCCTCAGGGCAACGGACGGTAGACCTGGCCACCCACAGGTAGACTTGGCCACCGTCGGGTAGACCTGGCCGCCCTGACCGACCACGGCCCTCAGATAGGCCACGCCCCCTTCGCGTTGACCACGCCCTCCTGGTGTGGCCACGCCCCCTCCGCGCTCCATCGAAGCGCAGCCTCCTATTGGCCGAGTGGGCGGAGCCGAAGCCCCCGGCGAGTGACGCACCGCCGCGGTGACGTCACAAGGGCCCGCCCCTCATTCCCCGGCCCGCTTCGGCCGGGGGCAGCTGGGAGCCGGTGCCCGCCGCGCCGCGCCCCCCCCCGCCCCCGCCCCCTCTCCTCCCCACCCACCCGCTCTGTCAGGCGGCCCCGGGCGGTGGCGGCGGCGCCTCCGGGCGGCGGGAGGAGGGGCAGGGAGCGCGGGCGGCGCCGCACAAAGGCGCCGGAGAGCCGGGAGCGGAACCCGGGGCAGGTCAGTCCGCTACGGGACGGGACCGGGAGGGAACCGGCACCGGGAGCGGTTGGGGCGGGCGCTGGCGGTGCCCGGCCGGGGGCGGAGGCGCCGCGCCCTGCGCGCCCCCTGCCCACCGCAACCGCCCCTGCCCTCAGGCCAGGCCACGCCCCCCCTCGCGCAAACCGCGCCCCCTATGCTAGGCCACGCCCCTCCGCCGAGGCCCCTCCGCAGAGCTTTCGAGGAAACCCCGCCGCCCTCCCCTCGCGGGCTCTCATTGGCTGCCTCCGGAGAGGGGCGGGGCGAGGCGGCCCCACGTGACTGCCCCTCCCCGAGGCCCCGCCCCTCCCTCCCCGGCCCGCTTCGGCCGGGGGCGGCTGGAACCGGTCGGTGCCCTCCCCCCCCCCCCCCCCCCGGGCTTGGCGCGAGAGCGGCCGTTGGCGGCCGTTGGCGCTGAGGTGATTTGGGGAGGGGGGAGAGGGGCAGCGCCCTCAGAGCCGGTTCCTAACGCACAGCGTCTGCTCCAGCCTCTGGGTAACTATAGGGAGCAGTAAAATTGTGATTTTCTATTTTATTTTATTTTATTTTGATATTTAGTGTTTATTTATTAATATGCAACCGCGTGGTTGAGCTCCTGTCAGTCCCGTGTTTGTGATGAATGTTTCGCTGAAGAAATAAATCCAGCGGAGGGTGTTTTGGTGTTCTCACCGAGGAACCCCAACCCATTTCCTGTCATTTTCAACAACTTCGTGTGAAAAGCTGCCGTAGCGCAGCTGAGGCAACGCAGGCGCTTGTCCGTGCTGCCTGCACAGGACTCGGAGAAATGCTGCAAACCTTCAACTTTTTGTTGCTTAAAGCAAAGCAGATGGTTTTGGTCACCCAGCATGCCAGTGAGGGATCTTTGCGTTCAATTCCCAGGGCTGGCTTGGCCTTGTAAGCAGCTGCCTAAGTAGAGGCTGAAATTAGCGTCTTGAAGATATTTCAGTATTGCTGTAAACAGAAGTGACGCTGTCTGGTTTTGGAAGCAGCGCTCAGGCTTTGCCTCTTTCTCAATGCCAGCAGGGCCACGTTGGTGACATTCCTGCCTTTGGACCAGAGCAGCGTGTCTGAATCTCATGTGCCAGTTTTGTTTTCTGTCCGGTGCTCGTGCTGCAATGCAGCAGGAGCAAGCTGCTGACTTTGTGGCTGTCCTTTCCAGCGCAGTCAGGGTGAGGGGAGGGAGGGGGGGTGGTGGAAGATCCGCCTGGTGGTTTAGCTGGGAATGAGGGAGGCGATGCTGTAATACCGTTTCTAAAAATTCTCCTCCGGTTGCCAGACAGTGTCCTGACAATTCGGAGTGTCCTCTGACGTTGCTCTAAAACCCAGGTGTTGTTAACCAGGTATGTAATTGAGTTACAATAATTTGGTACTTTAGATGTGTCTTATAATGTTGTGACTCCTTCTAAGGAGCAACAACAAGGAACAAAATCTGTTTTTTATACTACTGGTTTAATCAGATTTGAATAGATATCATTTAAATATTAAAAGTACAGACTGAAGTAGTGCAGTCGGGTTGATAGTCTAATACTGTGAGTAAAAATGACAAAAGGGTATCTTAAAACAGTAGTTTTCTTTGGCTAGGCTCCTATTTCTGTGGTGTTGAGCGTAGCACCAGCTCTGACGGGTGCTGGATTTTCTCTTGCCGTGCACAGCACAGCTTGGAGGGAGGCAGCACGTCAGTGCAGCTCTTTTCCCTGCAGTGCCTGGTAGCGTTCAAACGCAGGCTTCCCACTGGAGAGAGGTTTGGGGCTGCAGTGCCCTGTGTCAGCCCCGCTCCTACCCGCGTATACTCCTAGCTGTCGAACAGCTTGGCTGGGATTGCGGCACCTTTCCCCTGCTTCAGGCTGGAGCTGGACCTCTGCTTGGGGCTGATAAGTCTCGCCAGTATGTACTTTTAAGGTGGAGAATGTCTACTTAAAGCAAGAAACGTACAAGCAAAGATCCCGCAGCCTTCCAGATCTTGCTCTTTTGATCTGTGTATGCAAGAGAGGAACGATATTTTGAAATAATTGAGCATGTGTTTACTTTTTGCAGTACTGCGGTAGTCTGCACTGGACTGGTGATGAAATGTGTGCTAACGGTATGAAGGAGCCTGCTTGCGCACAGATGGGCTGGTATTTTCCTACAGATATCCAAGCAAATTCAGTAATACAGTGGTTAAAAATATTCTTGCATTAAGGACCAGTTGATTGAAGGTATTAAAGTACATTATGTGATTATCTGGTACTCAGGTACTTAGGTTGCTAATTTTAATTAAGTTTTCTGTCTAAACACCTTTGAAAAATCCCATTAAATACCTATATATAAATTTAGATAACTGGATATATATTTTTTAAAATAACACATTATAAAGCTGCTTCAGTAAGCTCTGTTTTTATCCTCACGGGGAATAAAAGAATTATGTTCTGTCTTAGCCAGTTATCATAGAATAATTCAGGTTGGAGAAGACCTCTAAGATCATCCAGTCCAGCCTTTAACCTAGTGCTGAAGTCCACCACTAAACCGTGCTACTGAGTTCTACATCTGCACGTTTCTTGAAGACCTCCAGGGAAGGTGACTCAGCCTGGGTCATCCTTAAATGTGACGTTATTTGGCAGAGTTTCAGGATGATGGCTTCACGTCAGACATTTCTGCCAGTAGTTCACTGCTTAGGGTTTGGGGAGGCAAGTGAGGAAGAGGTGTCCCAGAGTGTCTTTCAGCATAAGCCTGCTTCTCTTCGGCTTTCTCAGTGTTGGTTTGCCAAATACAGATTATCCTTAATGGATAAAGTCACTGCAAAGGGCCCAAATCTCTCACAGCCTGGGTCAGCCAGCTTCTAGGAGCTTAAATGAAGCTGGTTTAGTTCACAGTCCAATGGATGTGATGTAGAGAGAACAGAGTTTACAAAGCTGGATGTACTGGAAGAGCAGTATTTTGCTTTTCCTTTAATCTTTTTTTTTTTTTTGAAATTTTATTATTTTTGATACAGAAATCTTCCTTTTGTTCCCCCTCTTCAGAAAGCTAATGAAGAATTTCCTGAGGGTTGGTCTGTTAGTTTGTTTCTCCTTTCTTCCACCTCCACTAGATGTCAATTTGTAGTTTCCTGCTATACATACTCTGTATGTATATCTCCTGCTATATATATACACACCCAGCCAACCACCCTGCAGTCCTTATGGATATCTCACAGCTGATAAAGTCAGTGTTCGATGGAGTTCTGTCTTAATACAGTTGACTAAAATGTTGCCTGCCTACTTCTAAAAGTTGCTTGTTTATACAAAAAAAAAATAAAAAAAAAAAAAATTAGAGGCCTCTGGGCTTGGAAGTCTGTGATACTCTGTTATTCTGTGAGTCTAAGACATGCTCAGTGTTTGTAGGCTATGGTATTATATTCCAGGATTGTCCCAGATGACTTGGTGTTTATTATATAAGCCTGAAATGCTGACCCCTGAGCCAGAAGGTTCAAGTTAACTCCAGGCTTGGAATTAATCAAGTCCATGTTCTGGTATATTTTGACTACGGCAAAAAAAAATTATCTTGGTCTTCTCCATCCAGGATAACCTCTGTAATCTTTGCTGCCTCATTTGTAGAGGAAAGGTATGGTATTTTCATACGCTAATAGCTGACTGTGTTATGCCAGAAGGAGAGTGTTAAATGTCGTCTTTTCTTCTGAGTGCCTTTAGGGACACAAGGCTGTCTGTCTGCATCTTCTGGAGGTGCCTTTCTAGAATGAGGAGAGGAGAGACTATTATTTAGGGAGTACATTGCCTCCTGTCACTCTTCTTCAGGTGTCAATGAGGAGGAGAAAATTAACGAAGAAAAGGCTTACAGGACATATTAGAACTGTTTTTCCTTTCTTCCACGTGCAGGTTACTGTGCTTAAAGTCTTGGTTGCTTTTCTTATGGGTGTCTGAAGGCAAGTAAGTGGCTTTTTGAAACTGTAGTACAGTGCTTCCCCTCCCGAGGAGAGCTCTGCCTTGCAGCAAGGGAACCAAGGCTGCATGTGACCCTGCCCTCTCAGCTGCTGACTTGCCCCTGCCCTGAAGCCTTGCTGCCAGCCTGTGGCGAGGCTGGCTGATGGGCAGGGTTCTGAGTCCAGCTTGAGAAGGCAGCGCAGCACTGCCTCCGGGCTCAGTCAGGGCGCTGCTGCTGTGCAGGCACCGTCTCCTCGGGAAGCCTCCGGAGGCTGTGAAAGGTAAGGGCAGAGAGTGCAAGAGTGGCTGTGGCGTGGAGGGGAAATGAACTTGTTTCCGTTGGGAAAGCAAGGTTCTCTAGAGAGATAAATGTTTGTTTTTTTTCCTCAAAGTGAAGTGCTGGTAGTGTTGTGTGAGTGTTTACTGGGTAAGATTTGTGTATCCCATGGGGAGATGTCAGATTCAAGTGGTCACTGCTTGCTTGCACAAGGGTTTAGTTGCAGTACCAATAAAAGCTGACCCAGCGGGCAAGGAGGACGCAGGCTGAGGGGCAGCTCTCTGCACCACAAACACACGTTTAGTCACACACAACTGCGGCAGATGTGAATTCAGCTGGAAAGCTTTTGAACCCAGAGACCATTTAAAAACGGTCGTACAACTTGATAAATGTGCTCAACTGAATTTGTTTTATCTTTGCTGATTAGGAAATGTATAACACTTTTCCCCAAAGCTGTTCTAAGAGACTGCATTTCCCCTGGGCAGTCGGTAATGACTGCTGAGCTCTGTTCTCCCCAGCAGTCCGTCTGTACAGGTGTGGGGAGTAGAGGATTTTGTTATTCTGCCTCACCAAAGGTGAGGGAGGTACTGAAAGCCGGAGGGAACATAGTTTAGAACATCGGCTGACACCTACTGGTCAGAGGCTTTTAATGTTTAGTCTAGGGTTTCCTTCTGGGAATTAACCTCTGTCTTCTCAGGAGCAGTCAGGACCAGGACAGTTAAACCTCTGTGCTTTTTAGAAACTAGATAGAGCATTTTTGTATCATGTTAAAGTACAGAATGGTTTGTAGGTGCATGATGATACACAATAAAGATTTGATTTATGAACAAAAAGATCTCTGCTGAAATAGAGTTACTGAGTGGACAGATGTTATTTCTTCTTTACTGTATACTTGCACAGACTGCTCTGCTAGAGAAGATACTTATTTAAAATGAGGTAGTGCTTTAGACCTGAACACGAATGTCAGTACCATACCTGTACCTGCTGGTCTGCTAGAAATCATGCCTGAGTTTAGTGGTGTGAACTAGAATTTTCCTTCTCCTGTTGTAAATTTTCTGAGCAGAATTTTGAAGACTTTTCAGTGTGAGTTTAGTAATTCCTTACCATTAGCTACTGTTGCAGAGAAAAGTAATGTTCTTTGTCAGTCAGTTTAGGAAAGCCCACCAGTGTAGGCTACCTCCCACAAGTAGGTACACAGAACACTTACAACATGAAGTGAAAAAGGCCTTATAGATTTAATGACAGGGTTTCAGATTTTCTCTAGGAATGGATGGGTAGGTAGTTAATTTGAAGTAGGGTAGTCATGCTGTTTTTCATCGAGGTTAATTTTGTCGTGTTGCATGAGCCTTTGGTAATGGATTTTTTTTTACATGGTGAAAATCTGTTCTTGCTTTGGGGAACTGGGTTCAGGCTTCAGCTGCTATCTACCTGCTTTGTAGCCTTTCCCAAGTCACTTCTGCCTCTTTCAGCTCTTCTGCCTTCCTAGTTAAAGGCTGTCCAAGCAAAAACAATCAGCAAACCCAGCCAGGGCTGTGAGCTGTTGGGTGTCATTACAAATACACACCAGTCATTTCGTATTTTCTGCTTCAGAATGAAGTTTTGGTGTCATATTGAACCAGTTTCGAAACTGTACTTTTATTTTTGGCACTGAAGTGTGCTGCATTTTAACCTTCCCATGTCTATAAATAGCTGCTAAACAAATACTAGAGTGTGTCCCTGCTAACATACAGACTGCCTAATAACAACAACACAACAAAGTTTGTAATGGATGTGAGCCATCTGTGGAATTTGTTTATTAGCTGTATTTATTTCTAGCATCAGTACTTTGTTGTTTTGTTTTGTTTTTGTTGACAGCAGTGTTACTTTTGAAGCTTACATGTGGAATGAGGATATGTGACCAGAAATACCTATATTGCTACCGTTTTCTTTCTCTCTGAAGAGTCATCTCCCTTGACTTGGTATGAGAGAAATAAGGGAGGAGAAAAAGGAACGTAGGGGTGGCAGTAATGAAAAAAGGATTAGAAGTGTAGAAGATCTGCAGGGAAAACTGTGGATGTTCAAGCTTCAGACCACAGCTAACTTTGTGATTACTTGGGATCAGTGAGGATTACAAGTATTTTCCCTATGTTTTCCTACCAGCTGACTTTCTTCAGCTTTTCGTGTTTTCAGGGCTTTTTTTAACTCCTGTTGATCTACACTGTGCCCTTTGAAGGCAAAGGCTTGCAGCAGAGCTAGTGCTGAATTTGTCCTGCTTTTGTCCTGTTCAAAAATAATAGTAATGTAAACATTCTGCTCGCTTGGATGAAAGGGAGGAAAACAAACCAACAGTGCTATAAAGAGATGGATTTGTTGAGAGCATTGTGAAGTTAATCCTGCATATAATTAGTATGACTGACCGTTCTGCAACCTGTATCGAGGGGAATGTACTTGGGAGATTACAGTTAGCCTAGAAATACCCAGACTTCAATAGGACTACTACCTTCATAAAAAAATCTAAAAGCATATTTTATGTTAATGGGGTGGGATCCTGGTGGCTTTTTTTTCTGATGAAATTATTGTGCATTGGAGGAGGGTAAAAAACTGAGGCGGGGTCAGTCCTCTAACAACTGCCCTGGCTACAGAGTTTACTAGCAGTCCCTTCCTGCTATGGCGACTTCAAGATAAGGTTGCTTCGTGTTTCTGCTTGCTGCTGTTCCAGGTGAAAGGCTGGAAGCCTTGGTAGGAGCACAGAGCCCAAGGTGATGATGGGCAGTCCTTTGCCTGTGACAGCAGAGAGCTGTCACCTGTTCTTTCCTTTATTCCTTCCAGGTAGGAGTGCTCATCTGCAAAACTCTTCATGTGTTGTCTTCAGGAGGATGCTGAAGAATAACACAGGGAGACAGAAGTTAGGGGCTGCCAAAGCCCATTTTAAAGGTCTTAACCGTAAAACTCTGGGACCAAAGTTAGTCATAACAGAGGTTGTTTTTTTAAATAATTTCTTTTTTTTTTTAAAAAAAGAGTCCCAAAACTGATGCATACTGGGTAATGTGGATAGTTGCATATGTTATGTTTTTCAGTTGTCTCTTTCTTGTTCCAGTGTTGCAACAGCGTTTTCTGCAGCTGGATGCTATTTTCTGTGTCTGCTGCTGGTTTTAAAGAGCTTGCTATTTTTGCTGCTCGCTCAAACAGCAATGCCACTAGTTGGCTTGCTTCCATATAAGTGGTTGAGATTCATGTTTCTTTTTCCTTAGGACAGCAAAAGAAGTAGTGTATCATTCCTGAAATATTGTTGTTCTGTTTTTCCCCCCACTATAGGAGAATTCAGCTTTCCTAAGACAAAAGTTCTGCAAATATGACCTCATCTCAAGTCACTTTTGAAGTAAGAGGACCATCAGCACCAGGTAACCAAGTTGAGCTTTTCTTCTTGTATAGTAGAACTACAAGAAAACTGATTAGAAAAATGTTCAAAAGTTGTCTTACCTGTTTTTTTTCAGTGGTAAAGGAACACGCCCATTCAATTATCAAAATAAGTCATTGTAAAATACGTTAGGAAAAAATTTGACATAGAAATCCACACAGTGTGCTACCTGTTTTCTTGCTCACTGAAATAATTATGACTGCTTTAAAATGAGTCTTCTCTACTGGCTTCTTATTCAATGAGAGGGAGTATTTACATTCTGGACTGTAATAGGCATGCATGGACATGTTTGTTCTGTTTTTTCTTTTCTTTGTGTCCCTGTTGAAAATTCTTTGTAGTAAGATACGATCTCTACTGGGAGTTGGTGACAGAAAGAACATGTGGCCTAATTCACTATTGTTTGGAAATGCATCAGATAGAAATAAGTAATTCCTCAGGTGATAAGAACAGTGTCACTTGGTCATTTTCATGATTCCTTTTCATATAGCTGTTACCCTGCATCCTGCACCATGAGATTCTGACAGTGATAGTGTATTTTTGCCTAATGCTATCACAGATTTTCATTTCTGTAAATGCCCATTAGAAATAAATTGAGCTTAATGTTTCAATAGCAATCTGTCGTAGGAAGTTCTGCTAAGCAAATCCATGTTTAATACACAGAATAACTATTCACAATTACTTTGTTTTCAGTGAGTTTCCCTGACTTTCAGAAAAGCATCAAGTTTGCTCTTTTATTTACTGTTCAGCTTATAAAGCCCTTTAACCTCCGTTGTATTTATGTTGCTGAACACTAGTCTGAGTTCAAAAATGTTTTAGTCCTTTGGTGTACAGAAATATTTTTATACTAGTTTTTTAGTTTTCCTCTGTTTTCTGTTTCAGCTATGCTCTTTAGAAATGGGGAATGAATGTTAGACTAACCCAGAGCGTTCCTGACTTGAATAGGGGAATTAAAATATTTCATTTTTTATGAGTGTTTGTTATATGTGCATTAACATGTTTTTACTCTTTGCTTTATGTTACCATGAGGAAAAATTATTTCTGCATGGGTAAAGTAATTTCACAATCTTCTGAGAATTGTAAATAGCTCAGATTGTTCTGCCTGTTGTATTGCCTTGCGTTTATCAACCTCACATCAGGTCTTCCCTTGCATCACCAGCCTGCCTACTTCTGTTACATCCTCTTGATGTTCCGTATTTTGCTGATTTTAACTATTGTAATCTGACAACTAGAAGTCGTAACAGCATGTAAGTCATAGAAGAAGTTATTTCAAATGCATACTACCACAACAGTAAGTCGTTATCCACACACAATACTCTGTAGAGACCTCTGCAAGGTCTCTAAGCTACCAGCGGTGGTGTAATATCTGTCTAATTCATAATATGGGTCTTAAATAGAATCCTTCTTGATTTGAAGACAGTAATTCAGCTGCACATAAATAATACAAAGCAATAAAATTTCATTTATCTCCAGTTATCATGGCAAGGATATTCCCTAACGTGCAAAATACTCATGGATTCTGAAGAAGCCCAGCATTGGCTCCGTGAGCTGATGAGAGAGGATTTACTAGTGGAGTGGAGAAGAAAAAACATGCTGCTTGGCTGAGGAGTTTGTTGCTTCTGGTTTTGGAGCATGTTTCAGAAGTGGTTCTTTGTTCCTTCTCAGTTACTATTCTTATGGCTTTAAGTAGCATTTCCCCATATCTTTCATCAAACACAAGATTAAGCATAGCATAAAACTTCCATCTTCTTTTGTTAAAACAGGTAGAAATGTTAATTTCTTGAGACAAGTGATGAGTGAATCCAATCCAATTAATGAAATACTTCAGTCAAAAATGTTTCATCGTAAGCATCTAAAAGACAGTGCAGCAATGTTGCAGGTATCCTCTAGTGGTTAAGAACTGAAACATCCTGTGGTCCCTGTTTGAGTAATGACAAGAAGTGGGTTTAGGATTAAAAAAATGATCCTTTCTCAGCTCTTCAGAGCAGGTTTCTCCATTCAGTAGCTCTCGTGTATACCTGCCTTTTTACCCATGTATCTGTTGAAATTAACACACAGAAATCTTGACCTTCAGCATCAAATTTAAATGTTATTAGTGTTTTATGTGCTCAAAGAACAGGATTGTGTAAGCTTTGTTTCTGTACCCAGCCTGATGTAATACTGCTAAAAATACAACTTGTTTATCAAAGCTATGTGGCAGAAGTGTGTAAAACCACTTTTGTTATCTAACTGAGGAATACAAATTTTCAGATCATGTGTAACACCAAGATGTAGTGGTATTACATTGTACTTGTTGCTTTGACCTTCATCTTTAGGAACTCTGAAGGAAGCTAACAACAACAAGATGGTAGCTAACAGAAGCAGCTAAATGTGAAATTATGTACAGATTGGCAAAATTCCTGTTACAGACCAATACCAGCTGGTATAACGGTTGTGGTTTGGGGGGGAAAGAAGGGATAAAAACATTAGAAAAGCTTTGACATCTGTGTCATGTTAGACTTCTGTGTTGAGAGTTTGGGAACTGAACTTTGACAGACAATATGGACATGGAGCCTTTGGTAAGGAGCAATGTTTTTATAGCATTTTGGAGAAAACTTCAAAATAAAAAATGAATAGAACTCCAGGTCCTATGAGGCTATAAATCATTAGTGTAGCTAACCAGTGCAGTGTTGCAAGTCATGCTCTCTTTGCCCTGTTTGCAGTGGTGTTTCCACTGTTGTGATGGTGCTGTCACTAGCCAAGTTGTCTTTGGGTATGTAACTTCCTTTTACTGATGAGATCTGCAACAACAAATAGCATCAGGAAGATGTAGATCCTGCTCCAGTGGCTGGTTACAAAGAATTGCTAGGAGATGCCATTTGGATAGCATTAAAAAGTGACAAGAGGTTGCTTCTGCTCACATCAGTGTTAATGTGCTTGGTTTTGTCCAGGGAGGAGGGCGTTGAGATGGAGCCTTATGAAAGGAGGGAAGGAGTGTAGAATCTCTGGGTTTCTAGAGCTGTCAGCAGTTCTGTGAATGGAATGATTATTTAAAACACCACACTCTGAGTCTGTCAGATCACCTTGGTGAGGAGTTGGTGAGGCAGGAGTGAGTCCTCACCTTGGATGCTCAGGTGTTGTGTCCTCATCACTCACGTTTCCTGTTGATGTCAGTGGTTCCAGCTACAGGGTGGAAGGGCATCTGCAGCAGAGGAATGACGCTTTGACTCGCTCCCTCTAGCCAGACTACTTCTGGAGTTAACACTGGCAGTGAAGCCTACACGTTGACATAAACTCATGACATGGAGCACTTCGTTTTTGTCTCATCCGCTCAGAAGGAAAATTGTCACTGGTTACTGGCTGTGACTTGTGTAGGTCTTCATCAGGGCATAGCACTGTACCAAGAGATGGTTAGGGGGTTGAAGATTAGCTAAGAGAAAAAATAAACAAAAACAAGCCTACTGAGTTTAGAATTGCCTTGGGAAAGACAGTTCTCCTATATGCATTTTTCTTGTGCTTTTCCGCAAACAGCATTTCACAAATCCCAATTCAACCATGTGATGTGAAGTGGGTTTAGGAGTGACTGTGCATCCTGTTCAAATGTTGACTATTGTGTGTTGTACCTTGCGGAGTGATAAGTCTTCACCATACGGTCACACTATTTTGTTTGTTAGGTGGTGGTGGATGGTTTTTTTAGGTTGCTCTTCAGGGATTGCCTGGCATTTACACAAAGATGAACAAAATGCTGCCATTTCAAAGGAATATTAAAAGAATTTTCACTCCTGTTTAATATCTTCAGTCAGCAGATGCGTGGTATTTAAGTGGTTTTCCCTTCCTCCTTCACCTTCCCCTGCAAAAAAAAAAAACAGTCATGTGCCCCAGTGGGGTGGAAAGGGTAAAACACCTGACTGGCAGTTCTGTGTAGTAACTTGCACAATAAACGTATTCATACTGCGCACACACAAAAAAATCAGCTTTTGTATGCTTAGAGCAAGCATGCAAAAGCCTGGATTTTTTTTAATGAGTTGGAAGACAAGATTTTTAATTGGGGGGGAAAAATAGTTTAGGTTTTAAATTATTATTTTTTTTTGTTTTGTTTAAAAAGAAGGAATTAATCTATTAATCTTAATTCCTCACATTTGCATGTCTGCAGTGCTCTTTTTTGTAAAAATCTGGTGGTGTCTTTTATTAGGTGAACCTGTATACCTGGAAAGGATGGACTCTCTTCTAGAGGCATAAGTACATCCTCAAAGGTCTTACTTCAGATTTCAGTCTTGAAGTACCAGCTGTGATATTTAGCATAGTAAAAGGTAGTGTCTATGTAACCTACATCTTGCACTTTGTATTTTGAGATTATTGTACCCGCAGCATTTTACTACTGCTTTCCCAGTATGAAAACAGGAAATCACCATCAGAGGTTTGTGTCTTGCTTTTGTCAAGACTGATATTTGTTTCTCCAAGACTTTTCAGCTATCAGTTTGATCCCTGCTGTTTCTGTTCATCAGGCAGCACCACCCCTAACCTTAAAATAACCTTAAGGGATTATATTAACTTCAGCTGAATGTCCTCATGCCTATTGCGGTGTAAGGGTTTCTTTGTTTGAAATGTCACGTTTATATGTGCCATTTAGATAATGAAGTTCATTTCAGTACATATTCTTGTTAATACTTTTTTTTTTGAGAAGTGGCTCTAGCACTGTGGTAGTTCTTCTATTTTGCATGGAAAGACTAAAAGGTTAAGCAGATGATGAATAAGCATAACAGCTTCATACTTCCTCCTCCTGTAATAGATTCTTTTTATTGCTTCTAAAAATATTGTTGAATTACTGTGGAAAGCAAAATACTAATTTTGCCTTTCCAATTGTATTTATTGTTGTTTTAATTGTATGTTGGTTTTATGTTGAAAAGCAAGGATAAATTGCAGTGTTAACTTCAACTCTTGCGTTTCCCAGAGTTAAGTATTTCTGTGATACTGTTTTTTGTTTTTACTGTGTGCATGCATTATGGTAGACAGTATGCAATGCTTTTTGTGTGACAACCATATATTTTCACTTCCAGTTAAAAAATGAAAGCGTAGCAGCTAAGTTGATTTTATTTCTCACAAAAATGAAGCTGAATGTTCTCTTGGGAATGATGCTATCAACCTCCTATTTTGCCCATGCTTCTAGGTTATTCATGTGAATCTTAGAAAATTACTTTTTTTGACTTATACATTAGTACATTTCTATGGACTTACACACACACACACGTATGAAAAAAATTTTTATCTTGACAATAAGAATTTTACAGTAAAAATTTGCCTTCTATTTCCAAGTGTTTTTTTTTTTTTTCCCAAACAACATAACTGTAGGAGGATTTGGAAGCCAACCCTTTTAGGGGTTTGGCTTGTTACTAATGGCTCTCTCAGAGAGATCTTCGATGGAAAACACAACACTTTTAATTTTAGGTGGGGAAAAATGCCTTTTTCAACCAAAAAGAGGAAGTTTGGATGGGTGACACTGTGTATGTGTTGAAATTATTTGAAGGTTTGACCATGTAGGCTGCATTTAGTAATTCCATATAGGTTTGAGTAATCATGTCTTTTTTTTTTTCTCCTGTTTGTTCTCTTTTTATTAGGAGAAGTATTTGCAATATGTGGGAGCTGCAGTGCTTTGGGAAACTGGAATCCACAAGCTGCAGTAGTCCTCCAAACTGATGATTGGTAAGTTTTTTTGTTGTGGTGTGTTTTGTTTTTTTTTTTTTTTGTTAGTTTGTTTTTCCTTAGAAGTAACTGCAGTTCTGCAGCAACAAACTTGTTCTGGCTCATAGTTCCTAATTTATTAGGCTATATGTGCTATTAGTAAAACTCTCCAGAATTTCTTGTGTTGCCCTTGAACGCTTTGAATGCTTAGGAATGCGTCTAAGGTAATGTTCAATTTGAGTATGTTTTCAAGTTATGAATGATGTTTCTACCATTGTTGTGGAATATTTCAGAAGTACGGTTGTAGACGCTTGAAATAAGAGGCTGCTAAGGATCACTTTCACTCCTGTAATGGAGCATACAGGAAGTTATGGGAGATGTTTATAGTGTTTAGTTCTTAACCTGTATAAGTTCTTAGAGTGCCTATAAAGAGATGAGAAGATGATTTTAAAACAAGACTTGTGTTATAAGTCTTAAGTGTTTTGTATCTATATGAAGATGAGTGTATGCAAAAACAGTCTAGACGTGGCAGAGGGATACAGTATTCTTTTAAATTTGAGCCCTACCTATCATTCATCATCTATATGATGCAGGAAATAGGGCTCAAAGGATGTATCTGTAGTTCTGCCAGTGGCTTGCTTATCTTGCATGAATCCCTGGATTTCATCATGTTTTCCCTACCAGTTAAAGGAAGATGAGAGCTCTTAGATCTGTAGATTAGAAAGTGCAGTTTGCGTTCTAAGTATTTATTGTGCTTTTTGCATGCTTGGCTACCCTTGTGTCTTTCCGAACAGCTCAGTCACTACTTCAACATTGGTAGGGAATGGCTGAAGCATTGGCGCAGAATGGCTAAACCAATTCAGTTTGATACTAAATCATAATATGAAGTAACCTGTAAAATGTGTTGAGCCTCACCTACTGTTTTGAATACCATGGTGCAAACTCAGTTTTGCCATCAAAGTTGCAAACAATGCCAAAGTATTTAACTGTTATGCGTATATTTCTGTGATAAATTATTGTACTGACTTAAGGAAAAAAAAGGAAAGCAACAAAAAAGTGAGAGAAAACAAATGTACTCAGATAGGAAAATGATAATCCAAACAAATGTGTGTCTATTAATAAATCAGTTGTTTTGTTTGTATTTTTAGATGACAGTAGAGCTGTTAAGCTAAAATAGTATTTAGAACTCTGGACAAAACTTCAGAAAACTTGAGATGAAATTCTTGAAATTGTTCTCTTTCCACAGTGAATTATGGAAAGCTACTGTAGAGCTTGTTAGAGGTGTTCCTGTTAAATATCGGTATTTTAAAGGGTACTTCTTAGAACCTAAGGTATGTACAACTTTTTAAGTTGGCTCATCTTCTGTGATTTGAAATAAAAAGGATTTTCTGAGTTAATCTTCAGGTTTTTAGAAAGAAATCTTAATTGTAACGTATGCTTGTGGAAATGACAATTCACTTCTGGAGATATGTGACCGTATACAGTTAACTTATTTTGGTTAAAATGTCTTTTGTCTTTTACCCTTGTTAGTGCTTTTTTAAAATTCCAAGGGTATTGAAATGCCTGAGACTATTACAAAGCTTAAGCAGTATGGAGAATTTTTTATTAGGTATAATAGGGCTACAATAACTTACTTAAATGAAGACTTAAGTAAAGACTTGCATCTTTAGCATGGATGCAAGAGGTAGTAGGAGGAAAAACGCTTAATGTGAACAGCTTTATTTAAATTTGCCTAATCTACTACAGTTTTAAAACTGCTGAAGATACTTGGGTAAAATATGAGAAGTATTATCTAGCCTTTTTGCGGCATAATTAATACATGTTAATTTCTTCGAGTGAAGATGAAACGAGGAATGTGACAGCCTGGTGTTTTCTCTAGGTTTGTATACACCTATTTGCATGACCTGACCGAAGAGGCAGAGATGTGCTTTTTTTTGTTTGTTTGTTTTTGCAGGTATTGATGTAAAAGTTGCATGAGAGTTGAATATATTTGGCAGTATACTGGTCTGTAGAAGTCATACTAGGATGGGGGAGGAAGCTCTTTCTTTTTCAGACTAGGGATGAGATTGCACACAGAAAAATAAAAAAGTCAAGACTAATTTGGAAACTAAGCAGCTACTCTTCAGCTGTTTTTCTTGATAACACATAATAGCTGTAAGAAGTAATCCGTTTAAAGTTATCTTTGCTGTCTTGCTTACTCTATTAATATCCTGTAGCTATTTACCTTGGGCTTTAGTTCTTCTTTGAAATAGGGATTATGAAGGCTATAGCTAAACATGCAGAGGAGTTGTGGAATAAGCTGGTCTATATATATATATTATTTTAAATTATTGAAGAGCTTGGAAGCTTTTGTCAGTTGAACTCAGCCTTCTTTCACTGAAGTGTTAATGGAGGTGTCATGAAAATTCTCAGTGAAGGATACTAATTGAAATAGAACTTGAAACTGTTCTGCTTTTTATTATGGCAAGTGAAACAGTCTAATCTGAAACTGATACTTGCGTTGTTACTTTGAGGTAAAAGAAGGGAAGGCCAATAATAGTTTTTGGTTTGTTTTCTGGTGGCTTTTTTTTTTTTTTTTGAGGCCAAAAGTAGGTCAGATTTTATGGCCTAGTAGATTTGATCGGACTCATCTTTCTCACAAATGCCTATAGGCTTAAAATGTAAGCAATACCACCTTAGGATAACCACACTTAGAACAGATTGCAGAAAAAGTGCTCATGGACAACACAGTTTCTGTTTTAACAGTTGAATAAGTTCACAATATGTATTGGTGAGTGTGTTTCTTTAAGTAGGTGCTCTGTATCGTGCACGCTTTATGTACCGTGTGATGCAGAGTCTGCCAAGGTAAGTATGAATTTTATGGAATAACAGCATAAAGAGCTCCTATATTTTAAAAAAATAAAAATAAAACACCCTATACACCAAGTATGTGAATTGCCAGGGTACATGGTTATCTGCTTAGCAGTCTCTAACCTGTACCTGTTAAGTGTGCAGTACCACAGAACCTTTCTCATAAAATAGATTATTTTGTAGTTGGGGTCTTTGCCCTCAGTGTTTTCCTTTCTGTAATTTTTTTGAAGAACAAAGAAAAAGCAGGGTCTCCTCATTCTAACAGGCATGTAATATATCCTAGAATGCAAATGAGTCTGTGGAGGACTTCAGCATTAACAACCCTGTTAAGGATAAGATCCTTCTAAATTACATTCTCAATATTTTTATTTCAATAAATGTGTGAATTGCATGTGATTTATCTTCTAAATTGGATAGGCTTGCAATATATGATCCTTCAAACACTGCTAACATTTTGTTAGTGCAATTCTATATGTCACAGTCTGTAGTTGAATAACTTAACTATGTGTAGACTTAAATACATGTTAAAGTCTGCATATGTCAATTTTACATGACATAATTGATTAAGCAATGTTGAAGATGGGTCTGTTTAAGTTACCATACCCTTCCTTTCTGAAATCTCAAGCGTCTTCAAAGATGCAGTTATGATCACATCCGCATGGGTGCATGTTGGCCAAGTGGGGGTGGTGCATGTTTACACTGAGAAATAATCGTTTTCATATCCAAAATGTTACTACAGACTAGATGGGAAAATACATAAATGCACATTTTGGAAACAACAAATAAAGAGTATTTTTCACACATGAAAAAAGTCATCTGATCTGATCTCTGTTACTATTTTGCTTGAAGGGTAGTACAATGTCATGGGAAGTTCGGCTGGTTGGCAGTAAACTATTTTGATGTTAACATGATTGTGGTTACATAAATAGAGCATTATTTTATACTTAACATAGAAATGTATAGAATATTTGTAGGAGTACAAATAAGTGAACGTATATATAAAAAATACTTTACTGAAATATCTGTACAAGGCTTGACTCCTTGAATATTCAAGAGCTTCTAACGTTGTGAACGTTTTAATGATTATGTGAGTCATCCTAAGACTTTCAAAAGAAAACTAAATACAGGATTTGATGAAACAAGTCAGTAATTTCAACTGGTTTGCTCCAGGTTTGTTTTTGTCTTAAGCACAGTCCAGTACCAGTTACCTTAATGTGATGGTCTTCCAATCTTTTATTCTAAACATAGGTTCTGTTTGATTGAAAGAGGGAGGAAAAACACCAACAACCTGCTTACCTGGCTTCAAATTTAAATCTTGTGTATAGCGTATGTTTGAGGAGAATGTTTTATGTATTGTTTGTGTGATATGTTTGAAAACGTTCGTAAGGTCAATACCTTATTCTGTTTAGCTGCGTTCTATATTTGTTTTTCCAACAGTAAGCAAGCATGAAAGTTCAGAGTTATTTCTTTCAAGGAAATGTGAAATAGCTGTGTGTGTGTAGTGGGATTTTAAAAATTGTATTGGTGAACGTTTCACATTTGTGAGAATATTGCTTGACTGTAGATACTGTAAATAAGACTTGCATTTTTTCCTGAAATACAAACATATCAAATCCATCTAGTGCTTGGAATATAATAATCAGGGTGAAATTTAGGTCTAGGCCCAGTAATTTCTCTAGTAGCAAAGTGCCTTAGAAAACCTGTTGCCAGGCTGATAACTGGTGGTTAACCTGTTGGTAACAGAGGAGCACTGCTGCTGTGAGTGCACTGAGGTAGCAGGCTGTATTCAGCTGCTGCTTGAAGTACCTTAGAGGTGCTGTTGCCTTGTGAATTGAGTGACGCTGACTCTATGGCTATTGTTGTTTCATTGGTCTTTTGCTTCATTACTGTATTTTATGTGGTACTGAAATCTGGAGGTGTTTTGGTCAGAAATCCACCACAGGCAGTGAAGTCTAATTCATTTAGCTCTGACCTGTTCTTGAGGTACATCAATATCCACTCCTGAAATAGAGTTTCAACAAGTTAGCTGTAAAGTGCAATTGGTTAAATGTCGCTGTGGTCTTTGTTTGTTTGTTTTGTTTTGATTTTTAAGCTCACCTTGTTTTTCCTAATGTCTACTCTGTGTTGCCTTGGATCAGGAATCTTGGCACTGGTCTCCTAAACTGTCATTTAAACATCCAAAGAAGTGCCTTAATTTTTCAATTGTACTGAGCACCCAAGCACTTCATCAGACTGCTTTGAACTTCTGGAAGCCACCTCATGTTATGTAGGCCTTTTACCCTGCATTTCAAAACGTCTCATGACTTACCGGGGGCTCCCCAGCCTCTGACAGTGTGCGAAAACTTTTTTTAGAAGATTCCTTTAAGTCTTTTCATAGCTTTTTTAAATTGCATCAAATGGTCAGTCAAAGATCAAGGAATATAATTTTATGGACTTGATTTAAAATAAATTCTCTGTGTTGGTAGAGAGGAGTTCATGACATACAGTGCCACTCCGTATAATCTCTGTGTACTGCCCACAGGGATGCTTGATGTGACACTTGGGTACCTGTCCTCTAAAGCCTGTCCTAGCAGAGCCTGGCTTTTTAGGGAACATTACCATGTAATAAATGTTGATGACACATCATCATTTGCTACAGGCTGGTCTGGACAGGACTAATGTTGGTATATATTGCTGAAATTGCATCAGTATTCTAACATCACTGGAACAATGACTAATGTGTAATGAAAACAGCTGCAGTTATTTAAATTCATATAGGCACAAAATCCAGGGATTGTGAGAGAGCTCTCAGTCACGTCTGCTCATACTTGCTAATCCATTGCGCTTCTTTTCCAGGTAGTTCTGCTTATCTCCTTGTTTTTAGTATGGAAATTGAGGGTTTCTGGGATTAAATGCATAATCAGCCCACTGTATCTCTTCCAGGGGGTGAAATTTTAACTGTATCCAGTGTGTTGTGCTTATTGTTGGAATAACGTTACTCAAATTTTGATTCTTAATTTCTTTAACATAAAAGTGAAATGTGGAATTACAGTAGTGTATTTATCCTTTCAGAAATAAGCTGTTATTGTATTTTAATATGATATGTTGATTTTTTTCTACAAGTAGAAGCTTTTGTTTGCCTTTTTATAGGAAACAGCCTAATGCACGTTAGGACAGATTTTCATTCCCAGCTTTGCAAACTGCAAGTTCTGCATGTGTTTATGGGACCTGCTGTTGGAGAACTTGCAGGCTTATGTGCTGTTAGGAAACGGTAGCCCCTCTGCTAGCAAACACAGATTTCAGCTTTGAAAATGGGAATTTTATACACAAGCATGGATCTGCTGTAAAAAATGGGAGGGGGAAACTTCTTATGAGCTTTCCTACAAGTCCATAAGAACAAGTATTGTGGCAACAGCAGAGGAAAGGATTAAAACTACCCTGTAACAGGAATCAATGAAAACAGTAATACCATCTTATGTATATTTATCTGTATTGTATCTTTAAAGCAGAACTTTAAACATTTGTGTTTTCTCCTGACATGACTGTTAAGTATGGACACTTCTGAAATCACTAGAAAAATCAGTCTGCACTCTGAATCTTAGCTAAAAGCCAACCTTTCCTCCTGAGCACTTCTCAAACCTTTGGCACTTGCTCTTAGAAAACCAAACCGTAGTAGGTTAAATGTGTTTGATGGTCAAGAAATACCATCATTTGGTAAAGAATTTACTTAGTGGGCTGTAAGACAACAAAGTATTCAGATTCCCGGATCTGCTGACTTGGAATCATGTCTGGGTGTGTGTGTTGATCTGAAATGTGTTTAAACAAGAACCTGAAGTACTGGGACAAGTTGCCATTGAAGTCAGTATGATTCCGGTAGGCAGTAGGAGCTAGTCTTTCTGGAAATGAGCCACTTAGGCCCAAAGCACCAAAAAGACGAATTCTCCAGCTATTTGACGGCATTTTTAATGACTCCACACCATGTTAGGGAAACCTGACAACTTCCTAAGGTGACTGAGCTGGGATTCAGGCATATTTTTTCTGTTGTTAAGCACTGGCTGTCTGAAAGTTTTAACCTGGAAAGCATTTTCAAGTGGTACTGTTTTGAAAAAAGAGATTGAGCTACTGTTCTGTTCATCTGTTTAAGTCTAGACTACATTTGTCAACAAAACTAATTTTTGATGGAAGAATCTAATTTATCCTGCTTCAAACAGAACAGTCTGCAGGGAGCTTCACTGCTGGCTGATTGCGTTGTGCCAGTGTATTTTTCCTTCTGAGGCAGTAAAATTCCATTTCTGCTTTAATTGGATAGTAGCTAACTTGTTCTTCTATATATACCACAAGTAGAATAACCGTGTTAGATAGACTTGGAATTATTTGAGCAAATTGTGAGGGAGAAAACCACCCCAGCAGCTCCTAACTGCATGAGTAGATGCTGGGTGCTGTAGAGAATTGCAGAGATGTGGCTTAAGTGAATTCTTTTTATAAATTGCTGCAGGAGTAGAAAATGCACATAATGAGTTCAGAGATGCTTTTTTGTATTCGAAGGAGACTATGCTAGTTCAGCGGAGTAGCTATAAGCAGCAAAGATTTAGTCGTTCCATTTCATGTCTCCATCCTGTTGGACTTCTCAAGTTTTGTCATATGTAGTGTAACACATCAGGTAGTAAGTTGTAAGGGGGTAAGAACCAAGCCTGACCTGTTTGCTTTCTTTCTTGCTTTCTTTCTTTCTCTTTCATTCTCTTTCTCTGTCCTGTTCTTTTTTTTCTTTCTTAAATTTATAAGTTTAGTTCACAACCATCCCAAACAGATTCATGGGTAGAAAATCAGATATAACAAAAGAAATTATTGCAGACATTTAACTTTTAAATTACAGACTATCGATGGTCCCTGCGAAGTCATAGTTCACACGTGGGAGACTCATCTACAACCACGATCAATTACCCCTTTAGGTATGGGCATCAACTGCATCTGTTTGAGGCATATGCATAAGATTGCTAATATGCTGCACATCGGTTTTGAGGGATTGATAATGAAAGCTTTAAAATACTTAAATGTATTACTGTGTTGGAGGTATAAACATTTTTTTTTTTGCACAACATGGACCTTACTCTCAAAAAAAAAAAGTGTGTGTATATATATATATATCTGTAAGTGGCTTAAAAATTGAGTGGGTGTAAAATTTTTTGCTGCCATCCTTAAGATCATGTGGGTTGTTTTCATGAACTTGTAAAGTAATAGTTTTTTGTAATTTAATTCTTTGAGACTAAGGATCCATATTTTTATTTCCAGAGAATGTGGGGAGGGGGAGGGTATGAATTCACTACTGTTTTTGTTTAAATACCATTCCACCAGTAAATTTTTAAAGCAAAACTTTTTAATTAGGCTTCTTTAAATGAATGGCTTCATGTAAATAGAGACATGAATGAGCTAATTTACCCGGCAATTGAGCAGAAATTTATTTTGCTGGAAGAAAGGGTGGCATGCAGACTTGTGTACAAGTTTCTAATGCTTTTCTGAGATGGGAAAATATGGGTTTCTTTGCTTTTTTATTTTTTTTATTAAGAGTGTTTGAAATAACCTTTGAATGTAGCTTGTAATTTAGATATGCTGCTATAGGATGGCATGTTTTAAGCACTTAGCTCTTCTAGGATATGAAAAATGTTATTTTCTCCACATTTAAAAGTATACATCTGTTAAGTATCTTCTGAGTCATTGAAAGAACACCTCTTTTAGAAAGAAGCTTGTATTAAAGAAGCTGTAAATAGTGAATAGTGCCATGATCACTGTTTTGGGGGGTTTAATTTCATTTAAATTAGTGCAGTTAAGTGTTGGTGTCCCTGTAACAAAGTGATGTTTTTGTATTTGTAAGGAACTAATTAGGGAAGCAGCCTACCCTCTGTTAGGGTTAAGACTTTATCTCTCAATTCAGATAACTTCTTTCATGCAGTTAGGATTTTTTTTTTTTTTTTGAGTACCACTCAGTGCTTTTTGTCTCCTTAGTAACTGATTAATGTCAAAAATAGCCTCTGCAGAATTCTGTGGTTAAAGATGCATTTTTTTATTTTTTTTTTAACGGACCATGAAGTTTAAGTTAACTTTTATCACAGAAGCTAACTTTACCCAGGATCTGTTCGTATGAAATAGGGGCTTTCTTCATAAGCAGTCTTTTAAGAAAATGCAGCGAAACCAGGATGTTAGCACTTGGTCATTATGATCCTGAATTGTTGCCTAATGGTTTTTAAAAATGGAGGGCAGGACTATGATTCTTCCTAGAAAAGGATAGGGTTCATGGCTGTAATGACAAAATTTTCTTAAAGTTTGTTTTGAGTAACTTGTAGTTTGTGCAGGTTGCTGCAATTCTGTTAACGTTGATGAATTGCTTAGCGCATAAAGATTTCAGTTACTAAAACTTTGGAGAGGGTAAGGATGAAAGGAATTGTGGAGCATTTTGAGTATTTCATCCTAGGATAGGGTTTCTCTCACATGGACAGAATAAGCAGGCTGGACAGAATCGAAAGACTTGCTTGATTTAGAAGCTTTAAATGTGCAGGAGAACAGCTTTCTTGTAAGTTTGCAAGAAACTTGAATGTCTTGGACACTAACAAGCATTTTAGATTCTAGTAGGACAGAGATGTTATGAGCAAACTGCAAAACTACGCAGCCTTCTTGCTTTTTCTCAGTTCAGATTACTTCAGGTAACTGCAGGCATCTTAGGGCATTTTGTGTGTTGATAGGTTTTTCCTGTAGAAAAAGCACAGTCGGAAAAAACTTTATAGTAGGTTGCAATCAACATGCTTGTTTGTTTCACTTTTTCCTACTTTTTATTAGACACACGTTTTGGTAATGAAGTGGAAAAGTAGAATTAATTTAACTTGGCAATGATTCCTTTTAGTATGCATACTAATTAGAATCTTTCATTCTTTTTTTCCCCTCCTTTCAATTCTAGAAAATGAAATGACCATTGACGATGGATACTTTGGAATCCATAGTAAGTGAGATAAATTCATCTTTACTGTATACATGTTAACAAGATGAAGCATTGTAGTTGAAAAATAGTGTGAAATACTTTGTTTTAAACATGAGTTTTCTGCTTGTGATTGCTTCCTCGGCTTGCACAGTTGGTTTTATATCTAGCGTTTGTGAACACGCTCAGGCTGTAACTCCTAACGTTAATAAAACACAGCTAAGATGAGCTTAAAGATTATCAGTGTACTGGTGTTAAAGATCAGAATTTGTAAACTTGAAATTATAAGCATGTACTTTTGGAAATGCAGATTAGGCTGTTAGCTTTCTCTTTAAAACTAGCCTTAGAAAGAACTCTTCCTGACTAGAAGAATGTCACTTAGACAAAACGTACAAAAATGTGCTTCGTCAGATGAGCACATAACTGCCAAAACCTCATGTTCTTGTGCATGGATGTGTCTTGCTTTTGTCTGTTAGAACCCACCTCTCCCTTTATGTTCAACCCCTTGGCACCTGAGTTAACTCTTTGTCACGTCTCATACAGCTTGACTTCAAGTTTTTCAGTTTTTCTCCTATCATCCAAGGATATATTTTGCTAGCAATTACTTGAAACTGCAGAGTCTACTTTGACACGTGGTCTGGCAGCTTATGCTTTCTTTGTAGGCTTTCTTTCTCCTGATGGTGAAGTTGAGGGTTTTCCTCCCTGCTTTTTCCCAATTGTATATATTACTATATTTTGTCCTGCGTGCTTAAACAGCTTTATTGCCCTTGCTTATGAGCTAATTTGACATCTGTATCTCAACTGAAACAGTCTGAAGTTGCTTATGAGTCTGCAGAGTTAGTCAGTATTTATCCGTGTATTGAGAGATCCCTGGATATGGGATGGTTTTGTGTACCTGTAGAGATTTACTTAGCTGTTAATACCATAAATAAAAATGAATACTGGAATACTTAGTATTCTTCTTCAGACAGTGACCACATGAAGTTGGGAAGGATCGGTGTTCCTATTTGTTTACCTTAAAAGCCAGTGAACAACTGCAGTATCTGTTGCTTGTTCTGGCTAGCTCAGAAAAAAAGAGGTGAAAGGATGCTCTCAACATTTGCCTTGGAAATACTATTGAATAAAGCTGTAGATAAAGGAGGATTGGCTAGAAGGTGGTGTCGGAGGAACAATAGTTACATTAAGCTGTTTAGATCTTCTTTTAGAAAGTGAAACAAGTTATTAAGTTGTCTTTCTAATTCTTGTTGCTTATTCTTTGACAGATGGTATTGAAACTGTGGATGCTGGGTGGCTGACCTGTCAAACAGAAATCAGGTTGCGTCTGCATTATTCTGAGAAACCCCCTGTAGTGATAACAAAGAAGAAATTTAAAACATCAAGGTTTAGGTAAGAGCCTGCTCATCTTTGGTAATCTTTAGTAGCAATTTACCTCATGTTAATTGTCAGTACCTTTGGTTCCTTTTTTCTTAACGAATTTAGCCTTTAGCATTATGGTTACTGATAGGGCTGTGCTGTTAGACCAATTTCCAGGTATTTAAGTGCTTTGTAAAAATGCAGTGATTAATAATCGATTAGTGGTATATCAGTTTCCTCATTTTATTATTGAAATAGTATCAAAGGTCTTCTGTTTCAGCAAAGGAATTCAAATAGTTAAAACTATTCTGGTCTCACTGCTGAGTTAATACTTTTCAACTTTTGACATTCTGCAAGTTGACTCCAAGCTATCAAAAATGTATGATGTGATTGTGATAGCAGAAGTTGAACAGGCATCCTTCACAAATATTTACTCCATCTTTGCCTTGATGTTTGTTTCCTGCTTCTTGGCTAGAACTGTAGCATTCTTAGGTAGTGGTCTGATATAGTTCAGGGAGTTTTCTTTATTCCGTTGTCATAACTTCTCCAAAGGACTATCTTGGATGTGAAAGCTGGGGAAGGAGAGTTGTACTGTTGTTGTGTTCGTTTTTGTTCTTTGTTTATTGACCCAGGTGTTTGTTCTCCTGTGTCTGAATTTCTGCGATCTGGAGCTTGTCCTCACTCTCTCTTCCAACCTCCCCACCTTTTCCCCTTCTTGTGTGGATTTTTTTTTTTTTTTTTGGAACTCTCTGGTTGCTAAGCTTTATCCCAGCATATAGAGTTTTACTGCATGGTGAAGGCTTTGTGTCTTTTGTAGGTAGTGTTGGCACTCATACTCTATTACTATAGTTCTCCCATTTACCCACATTCCAATATTAGAAGTAATCAGTGCTAGAGGTAATTGAGCACTTAAACATGACTGAAATAGGATTTAGACAGCAATGGTTCCAAAATCCTACTCTTGTTAGGGCTTGCTGCATGCACAGCTCTCTGTACTTGGTGGTGTCAAGAAGACTTCTTGTGTTGTATGAGTTTCTGCTCAAGCTGCTTTCTAATTCCCCAGTGTTTCTGAAGACACGCCTGTAAGTTAACCATTTGTTTTGTATTTCTGATCGGGTAGAGTAAAGTTGACTCTAGAAGGCCTGGAGAAAGATGAGGATGATGACGAGGGCCAAGAAAAAACATCTCCTACTGTTCCTCAAAAAATGGCAAACACTGTGGAGTTCTCCTTAATAACCAACAATGAATATAAATGCCGACACTCTCAACCAGACTGTGGTTACGCTTTGCAGCCAGATCGATGGATAGAATATACTATACAAACCATGGAGCCTGATAACTTGGAATTAATCTTTGATTTTTTCGAGGTATGTTGCTTTACCACTTCGAAGCAACTCCAGTCTGCCTTCTGGAGTTGAAGGAGTCGATTACTTCGAGGATTCCACTGATGGCATCAGCCTGCAAAGTGATCAGCTTGATCTTTGGGATGTTACTTGTGTAAATGGTTTAGGAGTCTGTTTGCTGATGCACCATTGTACAGATTGTTGTCTCAGTATGATACAAAGTCTTGTGTTTTCTCCTTCTTGATAATAGTTAATTCAAATTGGTCTCAAATCTTAGTGTGTGGTACAGTATATAGTTAGGTTAGCTTGATTTTTATCCTTTAACAGGGGTGAGTTCTGCTTATCCTCTCTGAATTTTAACAGTGCATATAGGGACTGGTTAAAATACAACTATTTCATCTTGATTTTAAGTTACAAAAAAAATCTATGTAGTAATTAGTACAAATTAAAACTGTGCAGATTCTCGCTACTTCATTTGCTACTTTGCACTCAAAGCATTTCAAGAAAAGTTAAATATTGATAGCTTTTAACAAAACTAACTTTGGTCTTTTCATACTGTTTATGGAGAAGAAAGTTTTAAGCATTCTCTTTGGTCAAAAAAATGCCTTTAAATCACTTAGAGTCACAATTGTCAAGTTGCTACATAGTTCCTGAAATTAACAATGACCAAGTGCCTGTTCTGTTTGCTAGTAGCTGTCTTCTTTCTCTGCAAATGAGTACAGAGCTCTTTTAAACTTACATATTATTTAAGTTGAACTTTGTTTGAAGTGTGACTTGGGTATTTTAGAAGAGAGTATATTCCATATATGGAATTTTTGGTCTGACAAGGTTACCATATCTAAGAGTTTTATCAAAGATTGATGTACGTGGTTTTCTAGTTTTCAAACAACAATTTCATATTCCTATTTGTAACTTGCAACATAGTTGCATGAAAAATTTTGGTCTGAAACTTGTGTTTTCTGTAACACATAGGAGATTTCATTATATTAGTGACTGTGTATGTTTTGCTGAGGACCAAGGCTTCCAGGAGAAAGCAGAGTTGGTTAGTATTCTCACCCACATATAACAGTAGGTGTTTTGGTTCTTTCTGTGTTTTTAGGAAGATTTAAGTGAGAAAGTACTGCAAGATGATGAGCTCCCAGGTCATGTAGGTTCTGCCTGCCTCCTGTCATCCACAATTGCAGAATTTGGAAAGAGTGCTGGAATTCTTACACTTGCTATCATGGGCAGAAATCCAAGGAAGACAATTGGAAAAGTTCGAGGTACAGTTGATGCAATCAGACATAGATAACTTCACTGGAAGTCATCCATTATCTTTTGACATGTGAAGCATTTGGTATCTTTCCTTGTAGTGGACTACATCATTATTAAGCCAATCCAGGGATACACTTGTGATATGAAGGCCTCATATGCAAAATACTGGAAACCAAGAACAACTCTAGATGTTGGACACAGGGGAGCAGGAAATTCTACGACAACAGCTAAGTAAGTTCATTTGTGTTTTAATCTGTTGGTTTGGTTTAATGTTTTTTTTTTTTCATGGATACCAACTGAGGAAGCAGCTGGTTTCAAATTAAAACCTATAACCCATAACTGTTTTAACTCTTCAATAATAAACATGAGTGTTCCACAGAACAAAGACTTCCAATTTGTGTTTCTGTTGCTTCAATGAACTTCATAGTGCTGTTAATAAAACTTTTTCCTTTGCTATTATTTCAGACTTGCTAAAGTTCAAGAGAACACGATTGCTTCTTTGAGGAATGCTGCAAGTCATGTACGTACACACATTTACATGAACACAGTACTTGTATGGTTAAAACTAGTGTGACTTGTATGCTTAGTTTTCAAGATTCAGTACAATATATATTAAATGTGTTGATTAATAAAAAAGAAAAAAAGCATTAAATTATGAAGCTGTGGAAGTTCCCTGAGAAATAGGAAAGGAAGAAACAGCTTAGTTTAAACTTTCATTCTTAAGTTTCCTCAAAAACCCCTTCCATCCAACATATTCTGGTGTTATTTTAATACAGGGAGAATTTTAACTTCAGCCATGCAGAGACTGAATAATTTTGAACAGATGATTGAAGTCTGGCTCTTCTAGAGCCAGCATACTCTAGGGCAGCAAAGGTCTCACTCAGGGACTGCAGAGTACCTCAAACTGGTTTGCAAAAAAGGGACTTGAGTTCTAAGAATAAGCTCTTAGAATAAAACCGTCCTTTGTTCCAGTGGTTGTTAAAATGAAGATTTTTGACTCTTAGGATCTTAAAAGTCTTGAGGGATATTGAATTTGGAGATGCACTCCTTTGATGTTTAAATTCTGTGACCTATATCGTTGATTTTATCCCTTCCAAAATTTGTTATTGAAGTGATCTGTGATAAGATCAACCTTGATGAAGAGGCAGTGAGGCAGAGTAGCTGGAGTCAGTCCTATGGAGCACATTCAGACATTCCTTGTGTAGCTCCTGTTTTCACTGAACAGCTGTGGTTACAGTCATATTAAGATGCTGCTATGAGATCACGTGCTGCTTAACTTGTAGGTTTCTGAGACTTCCCTGGTACTATAACAGTACCAGAAGAATCCACTAGTGTGGAATCTTACCAGACATCCTTTGTAGTTATTAATGCTCTGCTGCTGCCATCCCTTTATATTTATTGACTTCTTATTCTTGAACACTGTAATGCCCGTAGAGTCTCATTTTGGAGGTGGAGTAGAATTTGAATACAGTGTCTGGACCATGCAATGACTGGAGAGCAAATGAAAACTACAGTTATGAAATGATCTGTTTAAATAGTATTTTTTAATTTCCCAGTAGATACAGCGGGTTTCTAGACGCTTTTAAAAAATCTGCAGAAAGTATGTTGAGGCAGAAATTTACTGTAAAATAATAACATCACCAGAAAAAAATACTTGTAATTATTTGTGGGATGAGAAGACTGGAAGCCACTGCTACAAAAATATTTCTGCTAAGAAAGGAATGATTTGGAGACAGTCAAAATAAGTCAAAAACTGTTTCTGTGTGTTTCTCGTTCTTTCTGGGCCTTCAAATCCATAAAGATTATACTGAGAGCTCTTGTTTAATCTTTCATCCTTTTTAAGCTTAACAGAAAATAACATACATCTGAAAATAATAGAGAACACTGGATGTAGAAATTTCTATTCTTGCAGTTGTTATAATGCTGCTGCAATGTCATTTTGGATTTTGTTTTTGTTTTCCCTATTTTTAATCAGTTTTTGAGTAAGATGTGACTAGTAACAACCAGTATTGCATACAACTTCTGGTAGATGTCCAGGACCTGTGCATATTTGGAAACCTGTCCTCTGAGTTTTCTGCAGTTCTCGAGCCCTTGTGCATCAACTGTTAATGGATTTTTGTTTTGTTCGGTTGTCAATGTGTTTTTTGTTTTCTGTAGGGAGCAGCATATGTGGAGTTCGATGTACACCTTTCTAAAGATCATGTGCCTATTGTCTACCATGATCTCACGTGTTGCATGGCAATGAAAAAGGTAAGGATGATGATCATATCTGTATTTTTATCTTGGTGTGACCAATCCAGAAACTAATTTTTTTTTTTTTTACTCATAGAAATAAGGTCTCATAGAAATAATGCTGGGAAATCAAGGAAAGGAAATACGTAGTGTTACTGTATGCATAAAGTACAGCTGGGAAGTTCAGTTCCTCCTTTTGATGTTGTAGCAACAGTGTTTCAGATGCATGATCTGTATCTCTTTAAATGTAAAATGCAGTTACTTGGCTTTTTTTTATTAATGGTTTGAAAGAAAAATGCACACAACTTCACTGAATTCAGTAGCACCTCTTGCAACCCCTTTAGATTCTCAGAGTAAGATCTTCTGGTTCTTTTTTTTTGTTTGTTTGTGGGTTGGTTTTGGTTTGTGGGTTCTTGTTTTTGGTTTGTTCTGATTTGATTTGTTTTGTTGCTTTTGAGGGAGAGTTGATGTGATTTTCAATATGACTTCTCACCCCTGCTGGTACTTAACCGTTTAGGACAAGTATAGTGCTATGTATTCATACGGCACATTAGCTTAAACCAGAGTCTACCTTGTATCCCACTAGTGGCCAGTGGATGGAAAGCAGAAAATTGGAAGAAAAATGAATCTTCTTCTTGATTTAGAAACATTCTGAAAAAATTGATTAAGCACAGATGGCTAGGTTTCCATTAATTTTTTCTCATTATTTCTTGAATCCCTTTTCCTTTGGCATTTGATCTTTCCTTTACTTGTGAGGTAAACAGTGTACTTCGTGCCTTCTGGGGACAGTAAGTGGGGCTGAAGAACTGCTTTGGCTTGCTTAGGTGGGACAGAAGGAAAGGATTTAGAACAGATGTGCTAGGAGCAGGAAAACAGGACTTGAAAGTGTCTTGTTCCTCTTCTAGCTCAAGTTATCAGTTGTTGTAGTAGTTACTTTTTTCAATCAAAACACTTTTTCTGCTATTTTTGTAAGCATCGAGAGTAGGATAACATAAGCAGAGAACAGTACTGTTATTCCTGCATATGGATAATTGTTCCTTAAATGGTGCTCTGAACAGACATGCACAATACCTTTTAAATAACCAAGTTTTATGAAGCATCAAAATTGAATGTTTTTATGGTGACATAACACTTCTTAACAATGAGAGAAACGTAGGCCTAAGAGCTGGTGACTTAAACGCGGAGTTATTCTTCCTTTTGGTCTGTTGTATATTTTCCCTTGATCTCAGAATAATTGCTCTCAACCACAGTGCAGAGGCAAGTTTGGGCTTGAGCAGTTCTGGAAAGGGAAGTACTTACACAGCAAATCAGTGTTGTCTTGTTGAGTATGAATTTCTTCATAGTGAAAGAAAGGAAGTGAAAACCATGTTTATAGATATGTATTTTTTTTGGCAGTATATTCTTGGAGGGGGGAGGGTTGTCTCAGTTTTACCAGGGCACTTGTCTCTGTATAAGCTTCAGAGATATTGTGTAAATAATTATGAATTGAATTGAATTTTAATTGCTTTTCATATTAACATATTAAAAACGTATATGAATTTTAGTACTTTGCAGTGATGCTTCATTGTGTATTATTTCTCTTCAAAGAAACTGGATACAGAGCCTTTGGAGTTGTTTGAGATTGCAGTCAAAGAGCTCACATTTGATCAACTGCAGTTACTGAAGGTATTGTTACTTTTTCTGGTTTGATACACCGGGTGTGGGATTTGTAGCTTAGATTTTTGGAGTAACTGCACATCGTGTGGGAGAACACAAGCTTTAAAAGTAGTACAAGTAGAACAGGTAGTTAATTTCAAGCATAGTACTCTTGTACCATCATTACAGCTTGAATAAATATCATTACTAAGGTTTTCTAGAAATAGCATCCAAACAACTTGCATAGATCCACATCATTATGCTACCATTCATGTTTAAAAAAAAAAAAAGTGTTGGTAGGGTTAATTTAAAGCCAATGCCGTGGAAGAAAGATACCATTCACCAAGTCTGTATAGTTCTTATATTTCCCTGTTAACAAGAGAGATCCAGATTATGTTGGCTTCCTCCTTGGAGCTGCATGTATGGGTTTAGAAGGGTCTGTGGTTCAACAGTCTGGATTGGACAAACTGGCCGGAACTAATTGAATTCAATTTAATTGGGTATCACTGTGTCTTCCAAATAGAAATTGTCTGCCTACATAAAACGGGATCAGGGATAAGACTGGTCCACTGAAGACCAAGCTGAGAAGATACTTGTGCTCAGTCAAGGAAGCAGCTGGTTTAACCAAGAATGATGTTTCTTCCAGTTACTTCCACTGTCTGTAAATGAACCTCTAAACTTAAAATAAATAGATGATGATAATTAAAGTTTAAAAAGAAAATCAGAAGGAAATTGTGTTGTACTTGTAATAAGATCTCTGTGGGTGGAACACTTGTTAATTTTATTATTTTGATGCTTTTTAGCTGGCTCATGTGACTGCCCTGAAAGTTAAAGATCACAATGGTGCGTACTTGTTGGCAAGAGTCTCGGGATTAATTTATTACGATGTAATGATACATAGTCAACAATTGCAGTAACTTATTCTAATTGTATTTGGCTTTTTCCTGAAAGTGTGTAAATGCTTAATTGGTTACTTTAGTTTTAAGCTGTCTGTAGAGCTTTTTGCTGGGAAGTAGACACCTGAATGGGAGTTACTCCCTTGGAAGAGAGGGGACAGAAGGGTTCAAGTTGCTTGCGTGGCTAAATATATATTGATGAGTATTCAAAGTGTAATTGCCCGTAGTGTTTCTTTTTTATGCTTCTCTGCCATTTTGGCACCTCTGCAGAATTGCAGACAAGAACTTTGTTAACTGTTACACGGCATCTTATTTGTGCTATAAGTCTCAGACTGTAATACATCTCCTTCATGGGGACGTCAAAATGGTGCAAAGCATCTCTCATGTCCTACTTGTCTGAGAAAAGAAAAAAATAATAAACCTTGACAGGCATGGCTGCTTCTACTGACTGTGATTCAGTGACTGAGAGAGTGAGGTATGGGAGAAGCTGCTTCTGACAAATATCGTCAAAAAATGTTCCTGCTGGTAGAACAGGAATTGTCAACACCATTGTTGGGAGTATGTCAGTGTTAGAGAGAAATCTTAAACAATCAAAAGATAAACCTGGTTCAGTTTTTCATTCTTAAAGATGTTGTGGTTCTGAGCCAGTTAATTCTTGCTGGATTAGGAGTGTTACTATCTATTTTAATCCAATATTTTGTATTTATTTTCAGCATCTTTTAAAGAAGAAGAAAACTCTGCTTATGAGACCCAGCCGTTTCCTTCTCTGCAGAGAGTAAGCAGTGAACGTAGAGCAAGAGATGATGATTATAGAACATGCAAACATTCAGTTTACTTTGTGCTACTCGTGTAGCGATGGACATTAATTTTTTTTAATTATTATTTTAACCATCCAATATCAGTGTTGGAACTGAAAATCTAGGGTTTTGTTTTGTTTTTTGCACACTGGAGCCTCACCAGCACATAAAATCAGTAGTTTCCATACCTTCAAAGGCTCTTAATTCAGAAGCCCAAGTTGTGTAGCTCAGGATATGCTCAGCTGAGCAGCTGGCTGACCATCTGGGCATTGCATTTCAATGCATTGACAGTTGTTTGCTGAATTTAAGGTTTGTGTGAGGGAAAGGCTTTTGGGAGTTCATTGTGTAGTCTTGGCTGTGTAGCAGAGCCAGACATAAAGAAAACAAAAGTGAATATCTAAAATGTTTCCCTTTGTGACTATTTGCAAACTGTTGGCTTTGTAGTGGTTTGTTTTTCCCAGAAACTATTGTCCAAATAGCTTGATACCATTTGCAACATCTTTTCTGGAACTGCTATTGTTTCCCCTTCTTGTTCTCTTCCTAATGTCTAGACTGCTCATTTAGCATGTCTTTTAGGGACTTTTTTTATACAATAATACTGCTTTCTATAAAGATTATTAGTACCCAGTTAATACTTATGTGAGAATTAATATAAATTATTTATATAATAAATAACTCTGTAATGGACTGAACTATTGAGGTTCAATTCGTACACGTTTTGGCTCTCCAAAGTTCACTTTCTTCCTGTGAGAAAGGGAATATTACTCTTCTCTGTACCTTCATATTCATAGGATTAAAGAATCATCTAGCATTTTTTTTATTTCATTAGCTGTTACTTCTGCATTTTGACTTAGTCACCTTATAATTAAAAATTTTCTTTACAAGCATTTCACTTTTTTGTTCTTATCATAATGATAAGCTCATGGATTTCATACATAGGACTATTGTTACTGAAGGTACTTTTTGTATTAAACAAAAGCTTTCTAGAGAAGTATAGAACACTTATTTTTTTTTCAGGAGTATAAGTGAGGCATTTATCTCAAGTGTTAAAGGTGAATTGACTTACATTTGTACTTGATCAAATCTTGAAAATTTATCAAAACTTTTACGTGGTTCTTAGCTTTAAACTGAAGAAGAAAAAAGTAAATGTATTAAGGTTTTTCGGTGTTGTGTTTTTTGGTTTGTTTGGTTTTAGTTGACTGTTAGACCCCATTGGGGTTACATTCCAGTGCATTCTTCCAGTAATTACCCTAATAGTACTTAGTTGATCCCCTTAGCAGTGGAGTCCCTTCATAATGAAATCTTTGCAGGTCCTGGAGTCAGTTTCTGAAGACGTTGGCTTCAACATAGAAATAAAATGGATCTGCCAACAAAGGGTAAGTGAATGTACAGGAGATTTACTTTGATACTTTGCTGTGTTCATGGCTAAGGCTTGCGATTTGATATGACAGTTTCTTAGGAGCTATAAACAAAGAAGCATTTTTATTTTAGTGTGACCCTTTTATTTTATGGCCCATTATCTTTAAAACAGAGTATATCGCCACCGCTCATGCAACTGAACATACACAAGCATGCTCTTAAAGCAATGGGATGTATTTGTAGGACTTAGCTCACAGTGCAGCTCTGCTTTTTTTTCTCCATTTTTTAATGATCTTTCATGGATTTCCTTTGTTTTTTCAAAATTAAAGAAGACTTCATAGCAGCTTTCCCCTTAGGTGGGAAGACTGAATTTTTCAGTCAGTCGTGCTGTTAGAATTCAGCTGTTCTTCTAAGACAGTCCTGCAGAGCTGTAGCTGGCATTCAGGAGACTGAAGGAGTGACTTCTGTATTCAGACTTGTAAACTCAGTTCTTGTTTTGCTGAAGTTGAAAGAGATTGTAGCTTGTTAAAATAATTTTAGTAAGCATCAATTAAAATGGCTGAAACTTGTCTTTTCTTTTTAATAGGATGGACAGTGGGATGGCAACTTGTCAACTTACTTTGATATGAACCTCTTTCTAGATATTATTCTAAAAACAATTCTGATGAATGCTGGAAGAAGAAGAATTGTTTTTTCTTCTTTTAATGCAGATATTTGTACAATGTAAGTTAAGGAGCAACCATATGTTTTTTATTTGATTAAATTTACTTTCAACATAAGTATACCCAACTATTCACTAACAAGAAGTTCCAGTTAGACCTAAAATTTGGGCACAAAAATAGATGGGAATTGAAACAAGGAATCAGACCCCTTTGATATCTGAGCTGTGACAAAAATCAAATAGGAAAATGAAGTCAAAGTAGATATTTTTGTCAAGACTGAATGCTTCAGTCTTAAAACAGCAAAAAAAAAGTCAGTATTTCTTATGGTATCACAAAGTCTGTTTCAGATACACTTAAGGGGTACAGAAGCCTAATTTACAAACAAAAAATGGTTAGATTTTTTTTCTGTGTATTTGCCTTTTTTAGAGAACAGGAAATTAAATAGCTTTGAATTACGGTGGCTCTTTTTGGTAAGAAGAATTCCTCTTGTGGAATGTCGAATACATTGCAGCACAGAAAAAGCATAGGAAATAACTGGGAAGCAAACAGTTGGGCTATATGTGAATTAACAAGATGCTGTAGTATGTTGTAACAAGAAGTGATTGAGCACTATGAATGAAAAGCTTAGTGGAAACATCATTTGATGAGAGACTGATGAAATACCATGGAAGGATAAATAGGACAAAACCAAGTCAAGGTACTGATAAAAGAATTACAAAACAAGCGTGAAAGCATATAACGCATTAATCCCAGAACTGTGTTTCCATCTACTGTCATTTCATGCTCCTAAGTGGTATTATCCATCTTGAAAATTACATTAATAAGGTTAAGTATCGTACATTAAACACAATGGATTCTTATCATGTATTTTCGTTTTGCTCTATTAAGAAAACTACAGATTTGGATAGCTTTCAAGGAGTTTATGTAAACATTTTGTGGGTGTGGATTAGAGTTGAACATGAACTCAAGCTTCCCTTTAACTGTGTTTTCATCTCTGACAATGCCAAACTGTTGGAGCAAGTTTGTCACATAGTTTGCTATGAAAATGCAATATGATCTTGTTGCACCACTCAAATGCACATGCAGCAAAACTCTCAAACAATAAGATTGAATTTCCATGCTTTTAAACTTCCTACTTGCAAACGTTTTTTATAACAGGGTCCGGCACAAGCAAAACAAGTATCCTGTGTTATTTCTCACCCAAGGAGAATCGAAGATCTATCCGGAACTTATGGATCTCAGATCTCGTACAACTCCAATTGCCATTACTTTTGCACAGTTTGAAAACTTGCTGGTAAGCTGACAAGCTCTGGTACTTCTCTGTAATAAAATTAAATTGAATTATTACTAATTATTGTAAATCCATAATTTTTTACCCAAAATTGCAAACAAACTCATAAATGCATTAACGTTAGTAACTACCAAAAAAATAATGTCTGTGTTTTAAATTTCTATTTAGTATGTTGCTTAGAAAATACAGGGCTAAGCTCTTTAATTGTACTAAGCTGTCATATGAAGTTATTATAAGGAGCTACAAGTGTCAATAAAAAAGCTAATGTGAGAACTTCTCAGGTTTTTAATTGAAGTGTTTTATATTTCAGGGAGTTAATGTGCATTCTGAAGACCTGCTGAGGAATCCATCGTTCATTAAAAGAGCCAAATCTAAAGGCTTAGTTATTTTCTCGTGGGGAGATGATGCAAACGACCCAGATAACAGGAAGAAGTTGAGAGAATATGGTGTTCATGGGCTAATATATGACAGGTATGTGCTTGAAAAAGAAAAAGTAGAATATTTAAGTTCAAGAAATGGTTGTATCCTGAATCCTGTGAAGCTCCACGTTCCTTTATGATTGACTGGGTGCAGAGTACCTTTTTTCTCTACTACAAACACAACAAGCCCATAAAACCAGTTGCAGAAAGAGATACACTAATTCCTATTCTTTTAGCTGTGTATATGAATCAGAATAACTTCTGCTTCTAATGAGGCTAATGGAAATAAAATTTAACTCTAAAGAACTAGTGCATGGCCTACACATTTAGTACGCTATTAATATTTCTGACAGTAATTTTTCAAATGTGTATTACAGTGTGGTGAGGACAGTGTTATTTTAACTGTCTGACTGCAATTTTCACTTTTCTACATTTATTGATGGAAGTAGTTAGCACAACTTTTAAACAAATGAATTATACTTAGTTTTCCCCAGCCTTGTGATCAGTTCTGTTTCAGAGTTCATAGAATCAGAGAATGGCGGAGAATTGGGTTGGAAGGGCCCTTAAAGATCATCTACTTAAACCCCCCTGCCATAGGCAGGGATGCCACCCACTGGATCAGGTTGGCCAAGGCCTCATCCAGCCTGACCTTGAACACCTCCAGGGATGGGGCATCCACAGCTGCTCTGGGCAACCTGCTCCAGTGCATCGCCACCCTCTGAGTGAAGAATTTCCTCCTAACCTTTAATCTAAATTTCTCCTCTTAGTTTAAAACCATTCCTCCTTTTCCTATCATTATGTGACTGAGCAGAGAGTTGCTCTCCATCTTTTTTTATAATTACCCTTCAAGTACTGAAAAGCTGCAATGAGCATTTGTGTATAGTTTTACGTTTTTTTTTTTTTTTGTATTAAAATACGTTCAGAGTGACTCTCATGGCAAAATTGCTGCCAAAATAATCACTTCAGAGGTTAAGGTATCTCTGCAGTTCAGGTGGACATCAGAATACTGTGTGAAGTCTTTGAACAATGGATTTACTTCAAGTCCTTTCAAAAATCAGAAGTTTCAGAAAGATATGAAATTAATCGCAGGAGATAGCTGCACAAAAAAGTGTTTAGTTCACTATTACAAGAAGAATCTTGAACTTGGAAAGCTGAAATTAGTCAGAACCTTTAATTACAAAGAATATCTAATTAGGAAAGCACTAACTGTAGTGAAGATGTCAAACTGTGTAAGACTAAAACCTTCAAACTTCATGCTTTAGTGACGGCATTGCTTTGCATATGGTGCACCAAAAAAAGGCAAGGAAGATCAGGTAATTGTCAAGGGCTCTGTTCTCTACAAAGTGAAAAATGAAAGTCAGGTTGATATGCCTAGAGGCAAAAAGTCAAATACGCTTAATTTTATAGTTCTGGACACCTAGACTCCTGCAAAAAGTTACCTAATTCCCTTTGATCCATTCTTGACTCCTGAGTCATTCCAGACTGGGTGTAGATTATCTGGCTTTCCAGTGGTATTCCTCCTTGTCCTGCAGTAGGTCTGCCTCTTCTCGTGGATGGTAAAAAGGAGTAACGAGACTTTTGCACTGGGGAGCAGCTTCAGATTAAAGTCACTGAAACATCAAGTCATCTTCTGTGCTGCAGCAGTGCTGCTTGTTAGACCTCTCAAAATTTAGACCCCATTAGTGGATGGACAAATCTCTGGACTGGTGTGCACAAGATTTGGTTCTTAGTGTAGGGGTATTACCAAACGTGGTTCTGTGCCATGCATGGCTTGAAGTGATAAATCATTGGTCTGTGGACAGGTGAGGTGTTCTAATCAATTATCACTGCTTAAAGGGTTCTTCTTGAAATGTCTGTGCTTCTGATGACTACTAATCCAGTCTTTTCAGAGTTGTTAATTAATTACGGTGTAATAGATAAGCACTAGCATGGTAAGACAGTAAAATGTGTGATAGCCTTATTTCTGTCTTGGTACTGCTTCCTGTGCTTGGATATGTAATTACTCAATGCTACTGAAATAATGCTGCATTTATGCCAGGGCTGCAAGCCTGCAAAGTGTCATTCATCATGTCTTCTCTTTTGTACTGTTTAGTGGGGTTTAAGTTGCAGCATGATAGCAGAACATGTTTTACCTCACAATTTGATGACTAACCAATTCATTGGAACTGGTTATATGCTGAGTTTCCTGGTGAAGTTAAACAAAAAAATAAATCTTTCACCTTCCTGTACTGTACAGACCATCTAGATTCTTAACTACTTGTGACTTCTCTGATCCACTTCTCCCCATATTTCTTCCACCTTGTTTACATCTTCCCACTATGAGAGGAACACAAAAATAATATCAATTACAAAGCTGTTCTTAAAAAAAAAAACAACAACAACAAGCAAACAAACAAAAAAACAACAAATATGGTAGTTCAACAGTGTATTTTTTTTTTCTTTTCACTCAGTGTGACTGAGTAGCAAACGATCACTTTTTTCAGCATAACTATTGCAGGCTGGTTAACTCTATAGTTTCTAAACACTGCTAACTTTTTCTGTAGGCAAGAACAAATATTGGAATGCTCCTTTATGATCCTTAATAATTTTCTAAAGTTAATGATGGAATTAAGTTCAAGCTTAACACAGAACCCTTAGAAGGAACATGACACTTCTGAAACTTGCAGCACATGGATACTGTCCTGTGCCTGGTGTTTTGTGTTGCTGTTCACTAGAGCTTTACTTAAATCATCTTTGTAGGTGTTAATTGTGACAATGTTAGGAAGTGAACACATGGATTAAAATCTTTAGGTGAGCTTTAGGTTGTTTGGATATGGCCCTGGGTTCTTGCTGTGGGTAGCATCTGGTAATTGTGTCAAATATTATGAACTGTCTGGGTAGAGATGATTTCTATAAGCTATTTTTCTAAACTTAGTTATCCATGTAACGATGAGCAAAATGAATGTAGCCACTCGCGAAGATGGGAGAAAAGCTCTGTGCTGAATACCAAAAGTTGCTGATACCAAGTGTCGGGTGAAAAAAAATACAGGTAGGGAGGGTCTGACTGTGTTTTGCATGGAGGAAAAGCTGCAAGGCTGAATCCGAGAAGCTTAACAATGCCACTGCTGTTAAAAGAACCAGCTCACTGGTGCAGGGGGAAGAATTTTTTTTTTTTTTTTTTACCATCCTTTCTCCACTTGGGCTGCAAATTATGAGACATAGCCAAAGTCAGTAAGTGAAATGTATGGTCTAGTGCAGTTTCCAGGACAATATTCTGCTCTTTTCCTATGCTCAGTGAACATTTATCTCAACACTTAAAATATCAAAACTACTTGTGTAAAAGACAACCTATAGAAAAGGTGACACCTCTGCCTCAATATCCAGGCTCCTGTTTGGGTCCTAATCTAGAAAAGTACATTAAAGGCACATCTGTGCATCTTCTGTTAACATGGAAAGTTAAATCTCATGGTAAAAACTCTTTATTAATCTGGTGTTCAGATTTATTGAAAGAAGAAACTTGAACCTAGTATAGACAAATTCTCTGGATTGGCAAAAAAAAAAAAGTTTTAAAACAGGATTTTGAAGGGGAATTAGCTGGCATTTTTCTCTTGGATAAACTTTGTAAATGGTCCAGAAAACACTTCTCTGTTTGAATTTACTTAAGACTGTTCTTACTGAGTTAAGCTCTTATAAAGAGTTGGTTAGAGATTAAACACCAATGTGGAGAGGGAGAGGGTGCTAACTTGGCTTGGCATTATCATCTTTTTTTTTAATTCTTTCTACATGATCTGAGTTCTGCTTGTTGAATAATACATACAGCTGCATGAAAATTATTAAGCCAGTAATCCTGAAACACTTCTGCCAAAAGCTTTTCCATGAGTATTTTCAGTGTGTTTGTCTCCCCTCTAAATACTGCTTTTCCTTATGGCTTCACGTTGAGTTTGCAGGTTCCAGACAAAAGCTTTGTGCTGTATCAGTAATTTTCCAAAACTAATGCAAATTTTGTTGGCAATAAATGCAAAAGCATTGCAAAATCTTCTCAAATCTGTGACTGATTAAATCTGTGTCATTGGGTACAGTTTTTGTGCATGAAAACAGTATTTCCGCGTGACTGACTGTATTTTTGATTTCGAAATAATTGGTAAGAGAGATCGTGGAGCATTTCTCTTTCTGCCAGCTGAAGGTGTAGAATAAGGGACCCAAAAAAAAGTGGGAACATGAAGTTCTGGGGTGTAGGAGTAGTTGTGCTTCAAATGGTCTTCTCTGCCTTCAGCATAAAGAAGCACTACGCATGTTGTAGCAGATGTCCCAGCGAACAGTCTGAATGCAGCTTGGAAGGCTGGCTTCTGCAATCTTCATTGAAAAGAAATGAATATAAGGCAAGAAGTACAGAATTTCTGCTTGCCTTAGCAAAGAACTAATAGAATGCCTGCTAGAAGCTGCCTAGCAACATGCCTAGCCATGTTTCCAGAGCCAAGGGGCCTGGAAACATGCCTTTGTTTTTCCATCATCTATCTGATGGGAACGGCTTAAAACCAGGAGTTCATAAAGGGTGTTGCTATATTAACAGAAACAAACAAAAAAAAATCCTTTCTCCTAGCTTCAGTGCTATGTCTTGAAAGCATAAAAGAATTGATGAGCTAGGTTAGCTAAAGAAAGAAAAGGTCTTACCTGCATCGTGGGAAGAAGGTTGTATTGCGGATAGTTTTTATCAGGCAATTTGGGTTTTTATCATAATCCTGTATCAGGCTGTAGGTGCTGTGCAAGTAATTGAACTCTGTGCCTTTGGTTCATGTACCTTAAAACTGGACAGCTTGCTATCTCTGATCTTACAGATGTTGATCAAGTCCCTTACAGTAAGTCCTGTGGAATTTTTTCCAAGCTCATTTACTGTATCACTCCTTGAGCAGCACGTTACTCTTGTCTTGGGCTTCCCAACAGTTCAGAATGTGTTTTGCTGAGTTTAAATGCACCTGGCATTCTGTTTTGGTCATGCCACTGTGTTTGGACATAGGTTGAAATTACTGAATGAAAGAAAAAGATTGATTAAATAGAAATATGCTACTTGCTTGAAGGAATCTTAGATGAGAGGCAGTGTGAATATTCATAAGATGGTGAGGCAGAAGCCTTAGTAATTCCTTCCAGGAGTTTCCTTGGAAGGATTTAAACCTGGAGACCTGCAATATCTGAAAGCAAGAAGAACTGGACTGAAGAAATTTGCCAGTGTTTATGTTTTGGGTATAAGTAACATCCTGATATTAGAAGTAATGATGATGATTAGAATGTATCCTTTGTATTTTGGCTGCATTAAGTTTGTACCAAAGTAGACCAAGTTTTTCTTCCTTTCTTCCACCATGAAGTGCCATTTGCTCCAAGTAAAGAGGACGTGCTATTTACATGGTGTAAGTAGTTGAATTTGCATTAGGTATGAATAAAAATCAGGTTTTGTTTTTTACTCTTCACCTAACATGGTAATAGTAATTTTAAGCAACCATAAATCAACCATTGTGCAGAAGACATATCGTTTTATATTGCAAGATTAGAGACAAAACATAAGGTGCTAACCTCAAACATCTTGTTTTTGTAGACTTGCTGGTATGTGACTTCATTAGGAGAATAAAAAAAGACGAGTAGCTTCATTTAGTTGTATTGTGAACTGTCAGGTTATACTGATAAGTCTGTCTCTTCTTGTCTCATTTATTCAGGATATATGACTCGAATCCCGAACAACCAAATATATTCCAAGTAGAACAACTGGAGCGTCTAAAGAAGGAATTACCAGAGTTGAAAAGCTGCGTGTGTCCCACAGTTAGCCACTTCAAATCCATATCTCCATGTAAATGTCATCATAGTTGCCTGGAAGAGAAAACTGTAGATAACTTGCAGAGTGTTCAAATGCAAAAGGACTGATTCTAGGCAGAATGCTGTTTTTTATCTGTTTAACTTCGACCATTGGAACAGTGCTCTCCATGCCTTGACTGTTTGTTTCTTTAAGTACCCCAAACAGCAATAACCGTGTTCCTCCTTCCTGACAATACTTGCTAAAGTTTCAATGTTAAAATATTCAGCCAGTTATAGTTGTTGCAGTTTACATACGCAGTTTTAAGTTTCCCATAATCAAGTCTCAAATTTTGAAGCAGTAAATTTAGTATTAACACTAAGTGTGTTTTTTAAAAATAAGCACTCTAAGGAGTGGAAGCTAAACTAAATTGTAGAGAAATTACAATGACCTGATGGTGAAAATGCTTTAAAAAAAAAAAAAGTTTTGATTTTGATTTTATTTCAATAGTACAGCTCATCAGCTTGTACGTGACAACAGGAAATTAAGAGTGATGGTAAGGTACATAAAGTTAGATCTAGCCCAAGTAAATCGGTACCTCTATCTATATATGTATTTGCACTGATAGATCCACCTGTATAAAGCTTTGTGCCATTTAAAAAAAAAACAAAACTCTACACCTTTAAGTAAATTGCAGTGCATATTAACTCATTTTCCCCCCTTCATGGACATTTAGGCTGCTGCCATTGTTTTCTGATTTGCCAACTGAGTGGTACAGTGTCTGTGTTTAGTAGTGAGGGGTGAACCACAACTATGAGCATTTTTCATTAGTCTCACACAAGCCTGTTAAACTTCAGGAATGTTGCTCATAATTTTAATGTTAACAATTACAGAAACACCTGTCAGTGGTTGAGAATCTTTTTTGCACAGTAACCTTAATAAACAAAATATGTACCATGCACAAACTCTAGAAAATGCATGCTTTAGTTTTTAAGCATGAAATTTAGGTGTTTGCTGAGGTCCTTGCATCTTTACGGTGCTAGTTATGTGTGAAGGGTGCAAGGACTAACTAAACTACTTAACCTTCTTTGCCTAAAACCACAAGCCTGTTATTCACAAACATTTGGAAAAAAAAAAAGGCTATACCATTCATGGTTTGTCTTTCTTACATAACATAAGCCACTAGCTTTTGTATTTTGCAAGATTTGATTTTTATTTTTTTTCAGAGCAGGAATTACAACTGTACTGAATTCAGATAATCTGTATGCTGTTGGCTGATCCCTATCCTTTGTAATTTATTATGAAGTTATAGTTTAGAATCCTTAATAGATAGATGCATGTCCTTTTTCCTCCTGAAGTTGCAGGTCATGCCAACACAACAGCTGTAACTTTCTACTGAAGTGTTAATGTATAATAAGAATGAAAAATATTTATTTTTTTTCTCTTGTAAATTGACAATGAAAACAATAGTGTGTACTATATTCTTTATATACAGTCATTGCTACATAGAACTGATTGTACAAAGAGTAAAGCCATTACAGATACATGCTTGAGCCTGCACCACTGAGCAGTTTGGAACAAACAGCTTGTTTCAATTTGCCTTGTACATTTTAGTATTTAAGGTTTGTCCTGCACAAACAGCACAGTCATGATTAGCTATCTGGAAGCTGTCTTTTATTAAAAAAAAAAAAAAAAAAAAAAAAAAAAGCTTCAAAGTGTGTGAGCTGTGTTTTTGGGAAGGAGGGAGGGAAGGAGCTCTGAACCTGATTCTTGACATCAACAATGATCGCCTGCAGCTGTTACCGGATAGAGCAAGTCCAGATTCCCCACTTGTCAATGTGTGGGATTAATTCTTAGTTGTTTATAATTTGTGTACCCTGGGAGCCTCTTTTGAAGGGTTTTGAGGGCTTTCACAACGAAGTGGCTGTGGCAGCTGTTTTTTTCCTGCATAGTAGCAGGTCACTAAGGTAAGTGTATGCCTGGTAAGGCCGCTGGTAGTGTTCCACTGGGCCAGAGTGTAAATCAGCCTGATTTTTGTTGTTTTATGCTTATAAATTCTCCAAAAGCTTAAACCTTTTTCACTCTCCTGCAGTTCACAGACATCAAAACAAAAACAGGTAAAAGACAGTGGCTTTGTTGGGAACACCTCTGTTTTTCAGGGTGTTTGAGTGCAGACAACCACCTTCAGACAAAAACATACTCAGCACCCACTATTCCAATAACTGAACTTCCTCTCTGCTTCCATAAGTGTTGGCCTTAACCCCTTGAGTCACATTCACGCAGGCCATTGCTGGGATGGTGCTGCAGTGTGTTCTGATGGTGTTTGCTGTTCCTCTGGTGGCCAAGAGCACAGCTATGGAGAAATGAAATAAAATAAAGGAAACTCCCTCCCTTCAGACGGAGGGAAGGGAATGAAGCAGCAAGCGTTTTTTAGTCTGGATTTTCTGCTGGAATGTGTTAACCTCTGGCTGGCTAGGATCTGGCTGTATTTTGATTGCTTGCTGGAGCATAGCTGCTTGTTCCAGCAAAGGGACTGCTACATTTTTAAAAAGAAAATTTCTTTTTAAATTAATCCTAAACTCTCTAAACTGGTAGATGAGAGAATTTCACTCCTACCTTTGGAGTTTCCTGTATCTTGGCCTCAAAGGCTGGACTACACGAGTTCTGATAGCTGTGTTAGGTTGTACTCTGGTTCTGTTCCCCTTAAATAAAAGAGAAGGGGGAATGATGGCAAAATAGCCCAATATGACAGAGTAGTTGGGAGAGAAGTTCCCTGCATGTGAGTGCTTGGACAACAAAATAGTTAATTGTTGTGACAAACTTCTGGTGAGGTTGAGACAAGGACAGGTCTGGGGAAGACCTTATGTGTTGGATGTGTGGGAGGAGTGAAGTTCACCCACCTTTACAGCCAACTTCCCTGTTGGCCAGGAAGACAGGACTTGTCCTTCTAAACCTCTGTTACAGTAGCAGAGAGCAGATTTGTCCCTGGGAGGGTGGCCTACCCAACAGCTAATGATGCGGTTGTGTTACCTGCTGCTGACTGATGTATTGGTGCTCCCCCTGTGTGCAGATCCCCTGTATTTGCCTTTCCATTGACTGTTCTTTGTATTTCAAACTACTGTCCCCCAAATGAACTATTGCAGGCGCTTCTGGAAGTGACAGCATATACATCCCCTTGTCCTTTGGTGTTTGTACCCAGATAGCAACAAAACAGTGACCTCTCACGCAGTTCCTGTTTGTTTTGTATGGGTACGTGTGTAAGCAGGTAACGTGACGTTTATTTTGGACCAGGCTCAGTATTTCAGCTGACAGAAGCAAAACTCTCTGCTTGCTTGTCTTGTGGGCACCTGTTTTGTAGCATTTTCCATGTGAGAGTCAGGGGCTTGGCTTGGTTTCTGGCTGCTGATATAACAAATGGACAGAAATAGTCACTGGCATAATATAAAATAACATAAGACAAATAGAACAGGCAACAAGTTGAGTCCATGTCCTTACATTACCACTCATAATGGGTTTGCCTGGCCCGCTTTAAAAGCAGCTGTATTGGAGATGCCAAACCCTCTTGGTTTGATCTTCCCTAGTGCTCTGAGATTTTCCTGATTTTTAACCTAAATCCCCCTTGATGCACTTCAAGGCTGTGATTTCCTAGGTTACCCCCTGGAAATAGAGACCATGTTCCTGCTGTCCTCTTGTGGACAGACTTACACTTTTCGTTTTGATTTATTTTATTTAGACTAAACAACCCCCTGAAAGTGAAAGCAGCAGGTCAGGGTTTGGTTCCAGCCTTGTACTACATCTCTCTTGGTTTGGACAAGCACAGCCCAAGGACTTTCAATAGCATTTTAAACTTTTAGTGGCATTTTAAACACTGGTAGCATGAAGTCTGTTCCTGCTGATCCTGCTCATTTCTACAGCAATATTTGGGTGGCTTCGGTGCTTTTGGACTGCAGAGATGTGGGGTCATAGACAGTGCAACGTGTAACGTTGTTGGTGCTGGGCCTGAACTGACATCTTGCTGTTTTTTCCTGAGCTGTGGGTGTGGAGTCACCCACAATTTTCTTCCTAAATGGTGTGGGTGTAGCTATTACCTGCAGGAGGAGGAATTCTGCTGTAATTCTCCCACTTATCAGTTTGGGCTGAAGACCTCATGCGGTCTTCTGCTGAAGTACATGGAGCAATAGCTGCACTGGAACATTTGATCATCTCACATTTGATCATTTTGTGTTTGATCATCTCACATTTGGTGATCTCACTGAGGCAAGAATTAAAAAGGAGACGATGCTCCAGTGCTGTGCCCTGGTGGCACGGGGGTCACACCAGCTTCCAAGAACCCGGCGGTTATGATCACGTTGGCACGAAAAACCGCTCCACTCGCTGTGACGCGTCAACAGCGCCGGAATAGAAACTTGAACCAAATCCGCTTTTTTTTTTTTTTAGTACTTCTTCTTCCCTCCCCGGGCTCGTGCTGCCGGCCCTTCAGCCGGCCCCCTGGGCGGGGGCGGCCCGAAATGGCGGCGGGGGCGGGCCAAGATGGCGGCGGGCGGGCGGTTCTTCTGCACGGCGGGACGCGGCCTCGAGCCCTTCCTGGCCCGGGAGCTGCGAGCGCGGCTCGGAGCCACCGAGGTGAGAAGCGGTTCTCGTTCGTCTGCGAGTCCGTGTTGTTTTATATGTCGTGCGGTAAAATTAAATATTTCGCGCTGTGTGCGTCAAGGAGATGCTAAGGAGTAAAATCATGACAGGACACCAGGGAGGCGTCGGCTCGTAGGGGCATTAAAAAGCTTTATTTCACGAAATCGCGCTCTGAGGGCAGGGCTGACCGACATCTCCGTCCCCTCGCCACCCCCGGTGAGCTGTGCCTTGCCCGGCTCTTCCCGGTGCGAAGGCGAGGCAGGGCACGCGGTGGTGCTGTTGAGCTGCTGGAGTGCTCACAGAAAATATTTATTTTTTTTCCCTTTTCCCTTAAGGTGGACTATGTTGCGGGGAAAGTCTTCTTCACCGCTGACGCGGAGCCGAGCGAACTGAAGAAAATCAAGTCTGGAGAGAGGCTGTTTTTGCTGATCAAGAAGCATGGCCCACTGCCCGTGTCAGGGCATAAAGGTACTGTGCTAACTTCTTCCCCTTGTAAAATTCATATTTGATTTCATCACCTGTAGCTCTAACTGAGAAGAATCAACTCTGAAGTTGTGGTTTCTGTTTTTCTTTTTGTTGTTTTTTACCCAACTATGCTTTTAAATATGTTTTTCTGTGCTGAAAACAAGTTAAAAACGTTTTAAATTCATCTTACCAGCTGACATTCTGCTGGCATAGTGCATATGTATATGCGTATAACACCACTCCCACACCAAAAAAATTAACAAAACTGAAGTCTGATTCTGGACCCCTTGCATGTATTTTGACAGTGAGTTATTATATTATTTTTTTTAGGTGACGTGGTTTTATACTATTCTGCATCACCTATCTGTTCAGTATGCAGATTTCTTGTGAATTTCACATACTTGCATCATGTTCTCTATCAGTGTTGAAATAAGAATTTTGAGTAAGATGGATTGGTACTTGTATGGGGGTAGGATTTTATTTGAAAGATTACAAGAGGCCTTGGACTCTAAGTATCAAATTTAGTTATGATTATGAAATTTAAAACGAGAAATAGAAATACTTAAATATTTT